CCGAGAGCCAACGACAAACCTCTCGAAATCTATTTACCAGCAGGAAGAGTGCAATTTGCCAGCAGGAAGAAATCAGCGACAATGCAATTTGCCTAGTGCCTTGCCGTGCCACTTAATTTGCTACCTTTAATGGGAGCTCAGGGCAGGAAAAGCCAACGGAAGCTCCTCTGGAAGCGCCACAGCTAAATGCCAACAAAATGCACTCCACAGAGGATGGGATGCTCAGGAGGGAGATGCAGATGCTCGTATATGTACACGGGAATAGGAGCACGGAGCAGTAGGACGAAGGAGTGGGAAAATAAGAAGCCACGACTGCGGGGGCCGACGTTGATTGAATTGCCGTTGCCACGGCTTCGTGTTCACCGGCAAGGCCGCCTAATTACCGTTATGTGGCAGGATTGCCAACAACTTGTCGGCCCGGCCACCAAGGTTGCCGAAAAGAGTTGCGTTTTGCATGCTAACATCATGGAAATTATCATATCATATTGCATTGTATTTTATTGTATTGGAAGGGTGCCCAAAGCGCACACTGGAAATATTGGCACATGATAATGATAAGTAATGCGATACATACAATAGCATAGCATAGTTGTTAACAATAGCCCCAAGTTCAACTAATTGATATGCACTACGCATAATTTTATTGTCAGCGAAATGATATGTCAACCCATTTTCAGGGTTTGACCTCAAATATAGGAATATAATTATGGGGAATACTCGTTCGTTTAATAACTGTTATAAAGAGTTATACTTTGAACATGCGAAGAGAGTTCATCAATCTCATTGGATCAAGGAAGGGAAGGGTTTGGTATGCATATTGATGATTCACCATTAAACTGTTCGCAAACGATCCTCGTTTCACCTGACTCGTGGCACGTTCTCAGGTTCCATCAACCCCCCTCGCATTAGCCTGAACAATTACAATGTCATATTTCCTGAAGAGCTCAACCACTTGAAAGCCCCAAAAGCCAACAACATCATCATCAATCACTGAAGAGACAAACAAGAAAATAATTTACATTTTATTATGTGGCAAATGAGCAATAAGGCCGCTTGCAAAAATAAAGGGGAGGAAGAAGAAGTCAAAGACCGAGCCATTACGTGGACTTCACGCTCTGAAATCTTGTCGAATTACCAAGAATTATTCTGGAAATTAAACTGACTGTTGGCCTCATTCTCAGTTTCAGCGACTCACGTACGGTTCATAAGGAAGCGAGTCGATTGGCCTGCACCGCCCCCACCACCGCCACCGCCAGAGCATCGAAACATGCCACCATAAATTACAGATCTTGTGAAGAAGAAGACAGGTGTGTGCGGATTCTTTTGAACACCAAGGACTTTGAGACTTTGAAAGAGGATAACATAATTTATGGGTTACGGTTCATGGCTGGTTCAGACGTGCTTACTTGCCAAATTCTCTAAAGTATTTCGATTGAAAGAATTCACACTCGAGAACAAAAAGAAAGTGTCGATCACGGAGAAACCAACGACCTCTGGGGTTCATAGCCATTGGGTAATCCAATTGAACTGACCGCTACGATTACATACATGTATGTATGTGTGTACATATTTCTGGGCTATGGCCAAGAATAACTAAAAAGGGAAAGGTCAGTTATTATTTATGTATATGTATGTATGCATATATGTATATATGTATGTACATGCTCGATGGCTGTGGGGTGCTCTTAACCACAGACTTCAATTCACCTTCAGAAGAAGCAAGAAAAAATAAAATGAAAACGCCAAGAAAACGCAGCCAGGCCAGCCGCATGGCCAAAGCATTGCTGACCATAATTGGAGTTGCACTTAAAGGTCTGCGTGCATTTAATTATGCAATTGAGCAAATAGCTGCCAAACAGAACCGCAAACGCAAAACAAAAAATAAAACACAGTCGACAAAACAATAAACTAGTCATAGTCCGTGAATCGCTTTAGTTCTTGGCTGATTTCTCAGCTGAAGTCAACTCTCTGTCTGCCCCAAATACCTTTTAGAAATAGAAACACTTGGGAAAAAATAGAGAAACACAGTCAGAATTAGTCAAATAGTCAAAACCGGTAAGGCAATCGCCTCTAAAGGTGTGATTTTTTTGGTTGTGTTTCTCTTTTTTTCTTTTAGGAGCCGAGGGGTCCACAATGCCTTTTATTGTTGAGAGTTTTTGTCTGAAATCGAACCCAAAAGATATATGGAGAAGACCTTTTTTTTAGGCACGACAACAAAAAATACGAACAAATGTTTGGCTTACGTAATTTTGACCTACAAATTTTCGCATACATAAAACACACATAAATCTTTTCATACCGCCTAATGTATATATGTACATAGCTACATAACTTTTCTGTTTATATTTAATTATAAGTACAAAAAAAAGATCTCCTGCCGAAAAGGTATTTCGATAAGGAAGGTCGAAGGTTTCAAGCAGTTCTTGAAGGTGAGAGGATGCTGGGGGAGTTCTGTAAGTAAGTTCGGGGCTTGTTTAATTTTTTTATCTTCTGTAGATATTTTCTGTTTGCTCAGTGAATAATTTAATTTGAGCCCCATTAGCGGAACAATAGAAATGTTATTAAAATGATTCATAAACGGATGAATGGATGGATGGTTAGGAAACACTCGTCCCGAAGTTTCTCCAGCAAAGAACAATGCAATACAGTGGCAGTGGCAGTGGGAACAAAAACAATCTAAATTGTATGTTACGAGACACGCGTTGATAAACAACTAAATACATGTTACTAATGCCAGGCTCAGGCTGGGCCTCGAAGGCCTTAAGCATTTCCTATAAACTAAAATCAGTCGTCTAACAATAGTTAAATAAATGAAAAATCATTAATACGCTAATGAATTTCTCAGGCTTTTTGTCTTTTTTTGGAGAGCGAGCCCAATTCATCATAGTTGAGGTGAACCTGATTAAAACAACCGAACCGATCCCCAAATGAACTGGAGCCCCCGATGGAAACCCGTTTATCCATCGAAAATAAAAATTTAATAAAAATAAAAAGCAGAGGCAACGATTTGCCGGCTACTGGCTCTGTCATTGCCACTGCCAGCTCCAGCTCCTGTGATAAGCCGGAGTGGAATGGAGTCCGTCGTTCCCCCTACGAAACGTGTTTTCAATAAACATGCGCAACTTTCTTTTTCCGACGCGTCCATACAAAATATGTACACATTCGTTTGAATATATGTATATACATAAATATGTAGGGTGGCGTGGTGGCTAGTGAAACTGTCCGAGCCCGAAGTGGCAGAAGGCGGGAGGCAAATGGGATCGCGAAACTTATGGATAGATGGGAGTTGGGAAGTATGGAAGACTCAGAAACACACATATACAATACTCAGAGGTGGTGGGGATATTGAAAACAAAGAGTCTTCAACTTATGGTTGAGCATTATGTGACGTACGAGAAGTACGAGAAGTGACTGGAGCTGTAATTTTAACAAATATAAACTTACTTAATGACTGTTTGCATGTCGGCCGTTTAGCTGTTTAACAATATTTGATTTACGACGCGACTAGTTTGCTTAATATTGTTATCTTTATGTTAACGAGACGCTGCTAAGCTGTTAACAAAAATAGATTAATTGTATTTAGTAAACACTTGAACTAAAACTCAAACTCAAACTTAAAATCTTAATGCCTGGAGCGTCACAAAAGAAATGCTAATTTCTTAATTTACCCGCTGTTTATGTTATTTTTATTTGTTCAACTATTTAGCAAGAAAATTTTAGTTTTACACTGCGCTCTTCAGCTTTACATTTGAAAAAACAAACTGTCAGATGTATTTATTTTCACCCACTCAACGATTTGTAGTAAACTCGACAGCCGACCAGCGACGACTGTGGTCTGGGCTGACAAAACGCCTCTATATAAAAACAAAAGCGTGAGCTGAGCGCGTTTTCCCCCATTGATGGAGCTTGGATACTCTATCAAGTCAGGAGGAATCTTTCTTGTTCAAATCTTTTTAAAATAACTTGTTTTAGATCATTGATTGGCGATGTAACTTCGAGAATTATATCTTATATATTTTTCCTATTTTTATACAATAAAGCTGATCGTTGCTCATTACAGCTCCATTACCGATTCCATATAACCTATACACAGGGTATACGATGGGTATAGCGAGAGTGAGAGAGAGGTAGTTGTCTGGAATTTACTACATAGTCTGGAGTTTTTATTCTTAGAAGGTGTTTTATCAGCAAAACTCCTTCAAAGTGCATGTTGTATGAACATTTTATTCACAGATGAGAAAAAGCAAAAATTATAATTGCAGACCAGTGTCAAAAATGCGTCAATATAATCTTTGAATATAAAATTTAAAAAAGAACCGCCTGAAGAGTTAAATTTTAAAGTTAAGCGAATCCAGATCCAGTGCATGTAATATGAATGCTCTTTATCGCACAAAAATACCGATACTAATTTTTGATATTTCGATAGTTGTCACGAAATAAAATACACACGTTGCGGGCTGAATGGCACTGAAAGGCACAAAAACAGGCGCGTGAATTTGAAATGCTTATCGAAAAAAAACAATAAAGATAAAATTAAAGATGTAAATAAAAATTGAATAAGACTAATAATATTAAACTACTACACACTTTTGAGATAGCAGGCAACTTTTAAGAAGGTCCATCGCGTTTATAAATCTTCCTAAATTTAAAACAGTGTACTACTTTTAATACGATATTTGATCTGATATGCTTGACTTTCAAAATATGTACGAATTAAAAACCATAACAATGTACATAAATCAAGCCATATAACATGCAATGTAAACGCTGACGTTCGGCACCTGATGTGCTCTCAGAGCCCAAATTAGTCTATGGAAAAATCTCTCTCCTTTTCTGTGACATCTATCTGGCCGAGCATAAGACCGAGCAATCGGCTTCAGCTAAGCCGCCAGTATAAATAAACATATAACGTGGCTATCGCTATTCCTATTGTTTTATTAGACTTTTGTTCCCTAAAATATGTAAGTGTTCCCATTATAAATCAGAACAGTCGATATTTCTTGCAATTACATATTGTATTTATTTAATTATGCAACTTGGATCACTTTTACATACACATGCTTAGCAACACATCGTCTGCCGTATGTGGAGGCATGTTTTAATACTATTTATGTGTGTATTTTTTACAGCGCATTGATATACATATATTACCGATTCATTCTCAAATATCAAACAACAAACCGTACTGTACTGTACTGTCCTCTGCTCTCCTTTCGCAATATGTACTCCTCTTAAAAGCGCATGTGTTGTGTTATGGTGTTTGTGTTTCACTACTTTAGAAAAATATATATGTATGCCGTTATATATTATGAAGTAGCATTTTTTTCTGATTACATGGACTGGGTACAAATTTTTGTATACAATTCTTTTTGGTTTCTTGTGTCTCCAAACTACTTGCATTTGGGTTTAGTTTGCGTTTCCGCTGCCTTATAAAACGTTTTTCTCAACAATTTCCGTGTGATCTTAGAGTTTAGTTAATGTCATAAATGGAAGTAAAATTCATCAAGAGTGTTTTCTTTTCGGGCGTGTGTCTCTACAAAAGCAGCTACAATAAATTTGCTCAACATTTTCGAGTATGTGCTTGTGTGTGAGGAGGGGATCGGGTCTCGTTCGATTCGTTTCAACTAAGTTTTTTCTTATTTAAGGCAACCTCTTCGAGAGCAAAGCAAATGAGGATTCAAGCTACAATTAAAAAAACAAAATAAATACATCTGTATGGCTTTTTATGCATAAATAATTTGTTGCGTGTATTTTTTGTATGATTCCTTTCTGTTTTTTACGCTTCTTCTTTTAGTACTTGTAAGTAATACAGAGTTATGCTTAATGCAACTATTATAAATTTTCATTTAAATTAAACTAAATTTAAACTTAAACATTTAGTAAAGGCGCGCCTCGAGCGTACGCTGTTCTTTTACATGTTTCTTGTTTTATTCTGATCTGATTGATTTTTCTTGCACATTTAATCGATTTGCTTCCGTTAGCCATTTGCAGAACCACAAAAGGACAAAACAAAACAGTTCTGGGGTCGCGACAGCAGATCACTCCGCGCGATAATATCATAGAACAGAATTCAGTAGGCAGATTCGATAGAGAATTAGTAACATATATGTTGGAGTGGGGGCCGGCGCACCCGTAAGGCGTCTGTGGAACTCAAAGGGAAAAACTCAATTGATCTGCCCCGAAGCGTTCCGCTGGGTATAAGGGGTGGTGGCTGGGTGGACTGTGTGGGTTGTGAGTGTTTGCGGGGTTAACTAAAAATCTAGAAATAGTATAATGTGTTTATCGGATCGTTAGCCATTGGGAATACACCATGAATTACTTCATATATATATAACTAAACCATATGAATTTGAAAATTCAAGTAACGAGCACACAACAGAAAAAAATTAATAGAACACCATGTAATGTGGGGATTATGGGTGATGGGGGGGCGTGGCGTGGCACGAGTTTCGTACTGATAGACAGACATGCCACAAGATGCGTATGCGTTCTACATGCCAGATGAATCCAAGTGTGTGTGTGTGTGTGTGTGTGTGTGTGCGCGCGTTTACAGCAACGTATAAAATACATTCCAGGCAAATCCGTTGGAGAGAGTTTAACTACTACCACCTTGGCCCTTGCCGTAGATGAGCTCCTCGCAGATCTTCAGCAGATCGGCATTCTCGCGCGACTTCTGCTGCAGCTGCTCGGCCGTTGAGACGCGCGACACTTCCTCCTTTTTGAGTAAAGCTTTCAGTTTTTTCACCTCATCCGCATGCTCCCTTGTGTTGGTGTCCAGCTTTTTATTGGCACTGAAATAGGAATGAATTGGAGTCATTGATTGATTCCGGGTAGATGGTTAATGGTGTTCGGCCTCACATTTCCAGCTGCTGCATGGCATGGCTTTTCATCTTCTCGTAGCGCTGCTCTTGCAATCGCAGATTCTCCATCAACTGTTTCTTGTCCGTCAGCAGCGTATCCTCGCTGTGTTTCAGCTGTGAGGTCATCTCTTTGCTCTTTTCATATTTCCTATAATAATATGACAGTATCATATTAGATTGGTTCAACAACGGGTTATGCCGGATAGATCGATAGAGACAGATAGATAGATCTTACACATGCAGATCGGAGAATGTCGTTTCCAGCGACGTTAAGTGATGGTAATTTGCATCGCGATCAGTTTGCACATCCTGCAATTGCCTTTCGTAGTTCTGTGTCAGCTGCTCTTTCTCGCTGATGAGCTCTGCTATAGCTTTCTCGTAGGCCTCGATGACGCCACTGCAAATGATTTATGATAGAACAATTAGCAATTAGTTGGAGGTGGTTTAATCGCAAGGGCGGGACTAACGTAAGCTTTGAATTTGTTTTATCCTTTTCTGTAATGCGCTTAATGAGCGCCTCTTCACGCTGCTCTGCATCTTTGAGCTTCTTCTCAATGTCCTCTGAGCGGGTTCTAAAAGTAATATGTGGGGAATCGAGTCAGTATTTGTTCATTATGAGTCTGCATATACTTACACTTCATTTTTGATCTTCTTCTCCAGCTCATCCATGTTGTTGTAGGTGTGGGATTTGTCCTCCGAATTAATGCTGTGCAATAGGAATAACATGTTAGAGTACAATCCGTTTTTGAATGGGGCAGCTGCTACATACTTGGAATTATCGAAGGTTTTATTGCAATCGTTGTCTATAACGTCCACACTCATTTTAGCATGCTTCTAAGAAACGAAATGAAACGAATATAATCTTAGGTAACACACCATCCTCACTTTTTACTCACTTTTGTCCTATCCACTGGCGGTTTATACCCAAACTTCTGGACTACTTCTTTGGCACTGGATTCAATGACGAATGACTGATTGCTGCCACTCGATTCGTGCTCTTCCCATGTGGGACTCAGGGCTCTATTCTTATTATGGTTGCCCAGGATATTGAGCAGGTCCTGCTCCTGCTGCTGTGGATGGTTCACTGGCACCGGAGCTCCGAGCAACGGATCAAACTTCAATAACAACGAGCTGCGATCCACTGGGGCATTACTGCTGCCTTTTGTGTACAAGTAATCGAAATCTGAAGAGTTGAGTATTACTGTGGATGGATGTGGATGGTCGTGCAGCGTGTGGGTTTGTGTATTTGTGTGTGTGTGTGTGAGTGGTGCATGCGCGTTCATTTTGTTGTTGGATGAGAAGTAAGAGAGAAAAAACATATCAGATTTTAGTCACTGTTTCTTTATAGTTTCGATTGTAATTACTGTCAACGTCAAGACAATACGATTCCGGCCTCTCTGATCTGAGAAGGAATTACCAAACACACACAGATGGGGGCAGTGTGAGGGGCTAAAGAAACGCCCCTTGAATGGCAATCATAGAGGGTTTGAGATAAAAAACGGCGGGACGTGAGAGGTACAAGCAAGGGGATAAGGTGGAGGTCGCATGTTTAGATGATTTGTTTTAGTAGAACGATGAAGAAATAGTTTACGAATGTAGTGGAAGCTATCTTCTATTTACCAATATACATATGTATGCATTTACATGTGTACATATGTACTTACTCGGTTTTTCATACTTTTTGTAAAAAGGAGGAGGGAATGCAGGTAATTGTATTCTATCTCTAATATCTATGAAAAAGAGAAAGGAATAGCTAAGGACTATAAATCTAGAGGCTGTCTGAGAAATTTCCATTTCACCTTATTTTGATCGGATTTTAGATGCTCTTTCTGTGAAAAAGATTCACAAATGGCTATGGGAAGGAATACATTCGTCTCTAATATCCATGTTTCACTTGTTGCAGTCGACTTTTAGATGCTCTTCTTAATGGAAACCATAAAAAGAGTATTTAACGATTCTCATCTTTTGGAATAGATGTGGAGTCTTCTCCTACTATCTCTACTTTCTTTGCCCCTATCTAATCACACAAGCAGCTGTCGAATCTTTCTCTTATTGCTCTTCCCTTCTTTCTCTTTCACTTTAAATGCGTGTGAGATTGAGTGTGTGTGGGTATGTGTGTGTGGAAGTGTGACTCGCCGAAAAACTACACAAAGCGGAAGGAAGGAAGAACCATTGTTCTTCTGGCAAACACGAAAAAATAAGATATGACTCAAAATAAAGGGAACTCTGCACCATTGAGTACCCCCTCCACACACCCTCCCGAGGGGACAAAATGAGGTGCGCCATGTTCTGCACAGAAGCCACATTATTTACCATCTACATACATATACATATATATAAATGTAAATATATAAACAAATTTCAGAGGCTGAGGCCAACGCTTTAGATACCCTTGACTATCATTTCAATATCGGCACATGCAATAGTATCCGATTTTGATTAAATTTATATAAGTTAGGGATTGGATTTCTTGTCGGTTTGTATGGAACCTCAGACGGACCATAGATAGATAGAAAGAAATGTTACAAAGAAATGTAAGAAATGTGTCCACTTTGTGTGGGAATCGTAATACCTTCTCCCCTCAAGGGAACAATAATGGGCGGCTTTAAAAATAGTAAAATGAGAACCCGGGCAGGCCCACATCCACATGCAGGTCATCTGTGAATCCAAGGAAGGCAACGCGGACGCAGGGGTGCGGCAACAACAGTATTTGTATTTTAAAAACATATTCCAAAACAGAACCAATAGCAAAAGCAAAACAAAACAAAAGAGAATCCGCTGCATCGCGACTTGTGAGTCATTTTATGCAATCGACAAAAAGAGGTTTAAAAGTGGGTTGATTAACAGAGTGATGCAGAAGAGAGAGAGAGAGAGAGAGCAAGAACAAACTGCCAGAGTGCGACCGAGAAATAGAGAAACTTTTTACACTGAAGTGCACTTTAATTGCGTGTCGTTTTGACAACTTTTGCATTTTCAAGATTTTTCACAGTTTTTTCCTCACAATCATGTTAACCGTGAACCACGCAGCGCCCACACACAGACAGTGTGGTACTCTCTCGTGGAGCGAATCACCGAATCACACAATGAAGTTTCACGCTCTCACTCTCCGCGTATATCAATTTTTTCCACATCTTGTGGCTTTATTGATGCTTTTTGGTTGTTTTCTTAAGATTTTTTTTGTTTCGCGCACAGCTGCTTGAGATATTTTTAATTTCTAGCTTTAAATCCTAAGAAAACACCAATTGGAGATGTTCTCCATAATCGGGATAAACGAAATATTTATATTCCAACTGAAAATTACATTTTCTGGTTTAGCAGTTGCGCCAATCGAAAGACGAGAGAAGACGTCACGGCCAGGCCAGGCGGGGCAAGCAGAGCGAGCGTTGAAAACTAACTGAAATGGAATTTCTTATTGCTTACGTTTCTCCCCAATTCCAATAAGAAAACCAGCGCACGCACGCAGAGACAGAGAGAGCGAGAGAGCTAGCTAGAGTGGGGGCAGATTCTGACTGGAGTGTGTGACAGTGACGCGTATGCAGCAAGTGCGCAAAGAGAGCCCCATAGTAAAGAGAGCATTGTGTACACGTTGTATGTTTTGGAGCAGTACGTTCTCCCCATTTTCTCTCTCGCTCAGCTGCAGTTGTAAAAGTGCATGGTAGGGAGAGTTCTAACTTGAATTCCTATGTGCCTATCCATATCTGTGTTTGTTTGTGTCAGTGGGAGAGAGCGAACAACGCACTATGGTCCCAACGACCACTTTTGTTGGCCAAAATTAATAACTCGACAACGAAACAAGATTTTTTAAATTAGTTTTTGTGTGGCACACACATTCTGTACAGCCTTGCGAATCAATTTAGCTTTCTCTGGGCATACAAAACCACAGATGGGTTGCACAGCTGATTTTGCGAATGTGGCTTATGGTCACTCTCTTTCTAATACAGAGTGATCAAAACCAGGTTTTTTTTTAATTTTGCAATATGTGTTTTGTCCAACAAAAGTGGTAGTTGAGACCCATAGTACGACATGAACGCCATGAGCTCGACCACAGTGTGACATCGCTATGGAAGAATGCAAAAGTTTGGAACACATAGTACAGGAACACATTTAGTTAATGCATGACAATTAATATCTTTCAGTGTGTGTTTTTTTTGGGATATTTAGCATATCAATGAAGAGAGGTGACAGCTTCCTACTTTAAGAGGTTTCACTGTAGTCTAGTCTTGCTTCTATGAATGATGGGGCCAGAGAGAGCAATAGGAAGTTTCTCAGTTTTGCTGTTGCTGTCGTTTATGTGTGTGTCCATTTGTGGGGTGAGGGATAGTCAGGGTTGCATTTACCTATTCAGCGATAACGATAGATGTGCGCGAGCTCGCAAAGGTTTTAAAATATAACAAATGCTGAACAGGCATTAAATAATTATAAATAAAATCCCACATTTGCATACATGGGCAATTTTCAAATTAAGACATGAGTTTTGTTAATTAGCCAAAAATAAAAATGCGCTCATCAGGCCACTAATACAGCAATTCGTCAATTGGACAAGATGACGTCACAGCGAATCGGTTTCTTCAGTTGGCGATGATTACCGCATACGATGTTTGCTGATAAGGCCTCCACCGGGGAGCGAGCAGAGAGCGCTCTAAACCAAAGAGAGTACTTTCCTCTCTCTTGTTTTGTGTGTGTGTGTGTGAGTGGAGAAGGGAGGGAGCGGGCAATGCGGCATTTTCGGGGCAGAGGGCAGCATAAAAATGCAGGAACAGGAAGAGCAACCAAAACGTGCAGACAAAAACTTGTGCACTACTACCCCTTCCCTACTCCCACACACACACACGTACGACCGATTCCATTACATTAAAAAATTATGCGCCTAATTTACATTGTGTGTGAAAGTGTATGACATGAGGAAGGGTATGTTGATTATGGTGCAGATGTTTGTAACATAGAGAAGGTCGAAAGATAGTCCAACTGTACATAACTAAGTCAATAAGATTCAGATACAACTGGATAAGAACCAACTGTCAATGGACCAACGGATATTCAAGGGTATCTAAGACTTCGATCTCAGATGCTGACTTTCCTTTCACGTTTTTGTTCTTGTGAATGCAGTTGCTGTTTTTGCTGGGTTTCCTGTTTGTTTCACCGTTTGCTACTCTCCCTGCTCTGCTCTCTCTCTCTCTATCTGCCCCTCGATTTGTGAAGTTCAGGTTCATTGCCTTGCATGTGCGGGGATTTATTTTTACAGTTAGATTTCGTTATGTGCGACAGCCGGTTGGAAAGTTCATGGAATGCATTAATTTCAAGTTCAAAAGCTAAAAAAAAGGGTGCATGGAATGGGGATGCGGGTGGATTGGGGACGGGGAGTGTTTGATGGCCTAAGGTCACGAACATGCAAAGGAAGCGATGTACAGTGGAGATCCATTACAAGAGCTTCATGGCTGGCACTCGCATTCCAGGAATATAAGACAAGAGCTTTGAATACTTACAGTTTGTATTACTTGCGGTATCATGAAACTCCTCTTCGGAGAACTGCTCATCCTCCTGCCCCTCTTCACGTAGACACATGGGGGGTGCTGCTTCTCCCAGTCCGGACTTTGTCTTGGCCAGATTATTAAACCCACTACTGGTGTATTGTGGCGTCTTGAACATGTCATCAGTCACGGGCGACATGGCCCCAAAGTGCTCCACAAACACATCGTCCTTTTCGTCGCTGGCACTGAGGTGGGCCTGCTCCTTGGCGGACAGGGCCTGCTCCTCGACAACAGCGACGGTGTTACCTTGGGGAGATGCCGCCGGAGCAGGCTCCACATGGATGGGCGGACGAGTGAGGTTTTGATGGGTGGGGATTGGTGGCGAGTAAGGGACTTGGTCCGGCATCCGCGGGGACCTGAGCACAGTGACCTCCTCAACCTGCATGGAGACGTCCACGTCCATGGCCTCGAAGTCCTCGCTGGCCATGCTCTTCTCGGTGGCCTCCATGGCCGGCGAGGCATTCGTCTCCAGACAGAAAGTGCGTCGAGGCTTGTCCTTCTCCAGGGAGAAAGTGCGACGCGATGTGGCCGCCTCCTGCTGATCCTCCGTCGACTTGATCTTGGAGAAGGTGCGACGCTGTTGCTCGTCGGCTTTTTCCAGGGAAACGGCAAACGTGGCCGAACCTTGGAGCGGGGTGCCCTCATTTTGAGTTGTGCTCGCTTCGATCCGTTTTCCGCTATCAAAGGTTCCGTCCAGCGGCGACGGGGAAACCGAAACCTCACCCTGGGAGCGTCTCATTCAGAGGGACGGGGGGGGGGCCCCCCGGGGAGTGGAGAAACGGCCGACAGGGGCCCATTAGTGTGCTCGCTTCGATCCGTTTTCCGCTATCAAAGGTTCCGTCCAGCGGCGACGGGGAAACCGAAACCTCACCCATGGGCAGCGTCTCATTCAGATGGCGCTGCTCTGGACTCGGATGCGTCACTTGTATGGTCACCGGCGACTTGGCAATGACTCCCGGTGCGCACATGCTCAGCTTGCGTTCCGACGAGCGCTCAATGACGGCCTCCTCCAGGTAGGACATCTCCTTCTGCTCGGCCGGAGCGTGCGGCGAGCGAGGAAAGTGTGCGGGCTGCTCAGCCGGACCTTTCATGGGAAAACTTGGTGAATTGGTGTCCAGCTCCAGACAAAGGGGCTTGGTGGTTCGTTGCAGCTGGGTAGGTGTAACGGCCACCACAGTCCCCCGATCGGATGGTTTTTCTTCTGGAACAGTTGCCTGATCATATGTTCCTAGGTCGTCTTCATGGGCGGGTGAGGGGAACTCTTTGAGTGCCAGGAGCATCAGTTCCTCGGGAGTCTTGGCCCGATGTGTGGGTATGGGCGGAGATATGTCCTTTTCCAGACAGAAAGTGCGTCGAGGCTTGTCCTTCTCCAGGGAGAAAGTGCGACGCGATGTGGCCGCCTCGTGCTGATCCTCCGTCGACTTGATCACGGAGAAGGTGCGACGCTGTTGCTCGTCGGCTTTTTCCAGGGAAACGGCAAACGTGGCAAACACTCTGTTTGCCTGCAGAGTGGGAACGGGTGGGGAGAGCGGAGCTGCTGCTGGCTCCCCTGGCTTCTTCAGGAGTTCCCCTGCAGGTGCTGGAACAACTTGTTGTATTTCCGGCTCCTGAGGCGGTTCCAGTTGAAGATTGTGCTCGTGCTCGTGTTCCATGGAGATATGGCTGCTGTTCATCAGCAGAGAACATTCCTTTGGCTCCTGCTTTTCAAATCGTTCCTCCTGAGAATGGGCTATGACCGGCTGTTCCTGCCGTTGGCATATCTGTGAGTTTTCTGTATATTCTTTTGGCTCCTCCTGAAGCATTTGATCCATCGTAAGAGTTTTGACCAGCTCTTCCTTCTCCTCACATGCCTGTGACTGATCTGTTTTCTCCTGAGTCACTTCCGTGCACTCTTGAGGAGAATCAACTGCCACTTCCTCTTCATTGGGCAATTCCTTTTGCTCTTGGGGAGGATCAACTGCTGGCAATTCCAACTTCGCTTGCTCCTGAGGCGATCCCTTCTGCTGGGGAAGATCAACTGCTGGCAAGGGCACTTCTTGCTGCTGGCACTGCTCTACAGATTGCTCTGGCCCGTTCTCTGCAAGCCGTAGAACTTCCTGGACAGGCTTCAGTGACTGTGGTTGCTCCGCTTTCAGGGGCACCTCTGTGCTCTCCTGCGGCGGCTGCTCTGGCTGTTGTTGCCCACCCATTCCGGGTGGCAAGGCATCCACGAGGAATTGCTGCTGCAGCAGTTGATGATCCTCTGGACCCAAGACACCTTTTAGCATTTCCATGGTCTCATTGATTTCGTCCACATCCATTGGCTCGTAGCTGGTGCTGTGTGCAACACTGCCAGCCAGTGGATCACTGATTGTTTGCTCCAGCTGCTGTTCCAGCACATCGTTGAGGGCACTCGAATAGGCCTCCAGCTCGGACGCATCACAGGAGAACTTTTCGCTGTTGAGGGACATGCACTCCACAAAGACATCCGCATCCGATTGATCCGCTTTCAGTTGGGCTGCAAATGGCATAGATATTTACAGATTTTTCTCTCAATTGGCTTTGTATCGGATTACGCTTACCCTCCATTTCGGCACTGAGTGGAGCCAGCTCTGGTATCTCCTCTTCATCGAACATTCCAAATCTGGGAGCCACTGGCTGTGTCTCCAGCTCCTCCGATGGCGATTTGATCATTGCCGTTGCCAGAGCCTTTTGTTTCTCTAAGCTCGACCTGACACCCTGCTTCACTGCCAGCGGACTCATCTGCCGAATGGAGAAGAAATGGAGAAGACTTTTTCAATTAGGTGCATAAAATCAAAGAAAATTAATTGCTAATTTCGTGCATCGCGTGAGGCATGTGAAGACAGCAGAAACAACAATTCCTTCTCGAATGAAAAATTATGAAAATAAAGCAAAGAAAAATCAACATAATCCAAACAATTGGCAGACGAAAATCGTAAAAAACTCGAGATGATGATGATGATGATGATTTGTTGGGATGGTGCAGCAGCTGCTTGGGGATTTTGTTAGGAATTGTTGACACACTGAAAGTACGATCCACAGGGGCGCCAACAGGGGCATGGAAAACGACCTGGTGACGGAAATAGCTGGCATCTGGGACCAGACAAAGAAGTGCCCTTTACCCTTTAATGATCTTTTTGGTTTCTCTGCTTCTGTGAAGCATGCAGAAGGAACATGTGAAGCAGGAAATATCCCAGTGTTTAATTAATGAAGGACACATCAACGTTGATATAACTCTCTGTGGAACCCATTCACCTCGATTGAAACTGCATATCTTTAACGATATAGGCAAACCATTTACCACTGCCCACACTTTAGCATGTGAGAGCACACTCACCCCGTCCGTATACACATCCCCATCCCCAGCCCCATCCTCAACGTCAACCCATTCCCATCTCACCAACGGACAAGCAAATGTCATTAATTTAAAAAGCCACAGAATAGCGCCAGACGACATAGACAGAGACGGGGCAGTGGCGGTGGCAGTGTATCTGGGTCGTTGTCGGCTTTCGTGCAATGCGAAAAGAAAATCCGAAAATGCCGGGGCCGGGTCCGGGTCCGAGTTTTGTCTACTACTCAGGGCCTTGATGCAATATTGTAAACGCGAAATTTAATTAGAGCGCAATACGATGATTACCATCAAGCAGCAAGGTTAAAGTCAGCCGGGAATGGGTGGGAAAAATGGGTGTGTGGTTATGATAGATTGGGATTTGGGTAACAGATAATTAAAGGCAAATGGAATTAGGGATAATTAGAGATTTGATTGGGAAGCCAATCCAATGGAAACCCTATTTAAGCAAGAGTTCGAATTCGAGAGGAAATAGGTTGACTTACCCAGAATTGGGTATTCGGAAATCAACAGAATTATTCTACATAAAATGGACTACAACGCAATAGTAAATCTCTCAAAGAGCACACGATCCACACAATATTTTGGCAGATCATTTATGACATACCTCCGCACTCATGGCCTGCAAATGTTCCATTTCGTGGGCACTAACTTGGCTCAGATTCACATTGATGTCAAGCAGGAGCTTTTGAATGCCCTCCCTGCCGCTGCGCAGGGGATTCGGATCGGTATTCCCCAGCCCCAACAGATTGCTGTGATCCTCTTCCAGTTGAAGCAAATCCTCTGTTGCCGAGTCCAAGAGCTGGTTCAGATCCGTGTGAGCAGCCATGCTGGCCAATGCGGATGGGGCATCCCTTGGTTTGGAGCTCGATGAGTCCGTCGACGAATGGTCGCCACTACTGCCGCTACTGCTGCTGCTGGCGTCTGTCATGCCAATGCTCAGGGGCCGTTTGATAATGTTCGCGAGGAAATCCATGGCGGAAAACTCGTACAAAATGTCTCAACGCACGATTAACTTTCTCGAAACGTTCACGGTTTACGGTTCACTACTTCGCACTTAATTCCTTATAAATGATCAAATTTCAGTGATTTTCCGTGTGTGTTCTTCTGTCTTATTTTCGATACATATAGTACGTATATTATTTATTCTGATGCTCTATATGTGAGGGCTCGCCTACTTTCAAATTTTGACTTTTCGATTGTGATTTTTCTTTATTCCGTGCGAGTACGTACATATGTACATACATATATTGAATAATAGCCGAGATTCTAGCGACCCGGCGCCGCGTGCGTTTCTCGCTGGCTACTGGTCCGTTCGGGTCTGTCTTTGAAATCAATTTAAAAATATTTTCGTTTTCAATTTGCTCAGCGTCGTATATTTCAGTGCATCCATATGTGTATCTGTATTTGTGTTTGTATTTTTGTTTGTGTGTCGAGAGAGGAACGTCGCTGGCTGCTCGAGTGGCATCCACCAAAAACGATCCCGATGTGTGTTCGGGTGTCGTCTCTATTGGATTTTCAGCCCACATGGGCGCTCTCCTCTCATTATCAGCGTGCTCGTCTTTTCCTGAGTGGTACACTAGTAGCTCCTGATCATCCACTATCACTGATTAGACGTCACAAGAAGATTCAGATATGGCATGAGGATAAGCCAGAAGACCCATATCCAATAATTAAACACTCTTAAGCATTCCTTCCTGATATTTTCTAAATATTAGCTCACATATCATCTATCGTACAGATCTCCGATCGCTTAAGTCGAGTGGGGCGAACAAATGCAATTCAATTAATGGAAGACACTTAATTGAACTCGAAAATTTCTATTGGTTTCGTTAATGAGTGCAATGCCGAGTGCAAAAAACAATTCTACAGCTCAGATGCCAACCGACTTGGGGGAATTACAGAGACAAACTGAAAGGCCTTAGACAAGACTCAGAACCAGACCCAGACTCAGACTCAGACTGAGGCAAAAGTGCAACACAATGCAAATAAACCGAACACCAGAGCAAGGGGGACTAAAAATGGGGCACCAAATGGGGACCGAGTGGCGGCTAATGAATGAAAGTGTTAGACAGTCAGTTTCTGCTGGAGAACCCTGTACTTCCCACAGTGTGTGTGTGTGTGTGTGTGTGTGTTTGTTTGGATGTGGATGCCAAGTGACATGCAATCCCGTAGCCGGCAGCCGCAGCCAGAGTCAGAGCTGGGCCCATTGTTGCGCATCGTGCACTCGAGGAAGTGCTCCACATTGCTCCACGGCTGACTTTGCATATTTTGAGAGAAACGGAATATCACATGATAGACTGAAGAAGACGCGGAAGCGGCAGAGGCAGGCCGATGCGTGACAGGTGACAAGATATCATTTGATACAACTGGAAAGAGCAGAGCCGAGTGGAACCCAATCAGGAAATGATGTATATAACTTGGACTGTAATTCGAATACTTTTTAGCCAAGACATTCCATATGGTTCCCAACTAAAGCAAACAAACGGGGAAAAGGCAGGCAGCTATAAAACATAAAATAGACTATAAATAGCCGAAAACAAATGCAGACAGCGACGACTGAAATGTGGGGGTGCATACCCATATCCTCCTTCCAGAACAACGTTGGTGGCAGAGGGGAGACACTTTTTGATCGCATGTACAATGACCTTTTGGCAGGGGCTGGGGCAACAGCACCCTTTAAGCATTTACCCTTCCAAAAGAATCACAGATCCCTCTGCCAGATGCACAAATCCCAAGAGGGCGCGCCTCGTTAGCCGGGTTTATTTTGGTTTTCACTTTGGTCAAGTCAATTTTTGGCACGCTTTGCCAACATCTGGACTCTGTTTCGCCGGCCCACAATACAAAATGTCAAGAGCACATAGCCTCGACCAAATAAGAGGCGGCCAAAGTATTTCAGTGTAATGTACAAACTTCACTTGATGGATATTCATATTGCATACCAGAGTCCCTTGCAAAGAGTCCGAGTTCGCTGATACCTTGTCTGGTCTATTACCCATTAAGGGGGTGTACGTATTTTGGTCACTGCTGCCGGTAAACGTCCGATCGCTGCCAGAAATGGAACACACTGATCGAATGGGGGACGCAGGCAACTCATCCAGAGCAGAAGCGACAGCTGCCATAAGACCCATTACAACTGCACCAACAGAAAATATACGACGAGGAGAAACAGAGAATTACTTGTAGCAGACCAGAGGCAGCGCGGGCGCATGGTCACGACGTCACAGAAGCCCAACAATGCCAATACGAAATTGCGGCGGGGACGCCGACACCTGGTATGGACGAATCGAAAATCGAATCTATTTGCACATGATAGAAAGTGAATGTTTTTGTCTAAATCGGTCGAAGGGACACGCCCACAGCTGGCTGAAAACTGCATGATCATTGCCTTACCTTAGTGCCGCCATCGTTTTTGTTGATTTCCCTCAAGACACTGCGGCTGCCGGGACCCAAGCCCAAGCTATTGTCGGCCGAATTGAATTCCATGGCATATATTGACCTCTAACGTATGCTGATTAACAATAAACTTTGTATGCACACCGTATAACAATAACTAACAATACTAAGTGACGCGATTAACTTTTTTTCCTTTTTTCGACAAAATGCCGCTACAATTTGAAGAAGCAAAAATTAGAGCTGGAAAGCCATCGATATCTCTGTTTTCATGTGGATCACTATCGATGGAATTTCGTTCACTATCGATAGATGCGCATCTGAAATTTTGTTTAAAAATAACCGACCATTGCACTGAATAACACTGCAGTGGTGGCACTCCTGAAATTGCTTTCATTTGCTAGAACGGCCTAGTTAAGGTGTTATGACATCTACTGGCTTTCAGTCGAGCAACTAAGGCACCAATTGACACAAAATAATGTTTTCCTGCACACACAGGACACCAAGCCAGACAGAATCTTCGGCCTAATTTTTGTATTCTTTATTTTTTTGCACTTTACGAGGGCCTTTGTTTATTCTTAGCCATGTTTTTTTTTTATGGTCCATACGCACAACACAGAATCTTCGGCCTAATTTTTGTATTCTTTATTTTTTTGCACTTTACGAGGGCCTTTGTTTGTTCTTAGCCATGTTTTTTTTTTATGGTAAGTAAGTGTTTAAAAATTTCCCACATTGAAGAAAAAGTAAAAATACGTTCATTGAATTTTATTGAAATTTTGCGAGTTAATACAAAACTAAAAATATAAATTAATGCAATTAACATTAAAAACGCCCGCTCACCGTTACAATGCCACTGAAAACATGTTTTAATACTATGGTTAACTGATTTTACAATTACTAGAAGAGAGTGTCTCGGGTCCTGTCTTGTCTACAAAAATGTAAAATAATATAGTCACATTTAAAATTGCATAAATTCTAGACAAGTTTAGATGTTATAGTATGTCGTAAATATTGGTTTTTTTGGAGAAATTCTCATGCATAAAATGTTTTTGTATTTCTTAATCCTTCCTCTGCTTTCGATTTTGTTTTATTTTTTACGTTGTTGTAATAATTTGGAATTATGCTTTATATGTTTTAAATTTTTTATTGCATTTTATGTAATTAAATATATATAACGTACATCACAGCAAAACTTTATAATTTTTTTTGTTTGTTTTTGTTTTTTGTTATACTATAAATATATTTTTATGATAAGCTTTTGATTTTTGTTAAGTGTTTTGAAAAGAATAAACCAGAAAGAGTTTGAAGAAAACTATTTGATGGAAACACGTAGTTAGTGCTGTTAGAGAATAGCCGGAGATATTGAAATAACTGAAGAGGGAACTTGAATCCGGATAGAAAGAAAATTTCCATTTGTTTTCTGTTTCTGCTTAGCTTGGTTGATTGAACTTTTATTATATGTATACTCGTAAGTAAGTATGTCAGTGCACGTATAAAAAGGTATTCAATTCATGTATATATATATATATATATATACTATATATATTTATTTCATTTTATCATAACTTTACTTTGCGTTATTGTGACAAAAAATAAACTTTATTTTATTTTTTGTTGGTTTTGTTTTGTTTTTAACTTATCCTTCCGTTGATGTTCCTACTAATAAAATTCTAGAAAAGCACAACACCTTTACAATGGTCTTTTGGAAATACCATTCATATAGATTAAAAATAAATACACACACATTTTACATATACAAATACTAGGTATCAAGATTTCAGTAATGCATAGCGTTTATAAGGATTTGAGAACATTCTTTGGGGTTGGGTTGGGGTTGGTGTGTGGAGTGATGGGCCCCAAAGTGCTGGAGTTAGTTTTCGGAATCGAAATCGCAAGCGTAATCGCAATTGCTCACTGCAAGCAACATACAAATACCCAATACCCAACAAATATGGTTTACTGCATATCCGAAGAAGGCTACACTAACGTTATGTACTCGTATGCATGTGTATGTATATCCATTCTCACAAAAAATCAATGCTATTCATATGTGTACAATATATACTCGTATATGCTATAAAAAGTTGAGTTAGTTTCAATGGTTTTTTTGTTTTGTTTTAATACGAATGGAGGGCAGGAATCATTTCAATTTACTTGTTTTTCTTGTTGTTTTGTTTTCCTCTTTTGGTTTTATGTTTAGCTATCATGTCAATTGGTTATGTACCATATACATATACGTACATATGTATGCATTTATGTGTATATCGATCGGTAGATAGATAATTATTGTATCGTACTTGTACATGTATATTGGTAAAAATTGTTTTTGTGTTTACAAATCGCTCTCCTCTCCGGTTTACAGTTAACAGTTTACAGGCTAGTGCGCGTAGTTTGCTTGAATCGTATATCAATTTCAGAAGGAAACTCTCTATACCATCTATATAGTATCTACATACTCGTATATGTAATGTTTGTTTTCGTTTGTTTATATGTATACGATAATCGTAGCTATGCATCTGATGCTCGGCTCAGTTTGGTTACGTTACTGTAATTTAAATTTTCCCATTCTAATAGACAAGTCACATTGATTCAAGGAGGTTTAGGTGTAGAGCTACAGACGTTACAGTTTAAAGGCAAAAGTATTTACTACGGAAGTGTTTTGGGTCAGTAGGAGACGTCCCAGTCCAAGTCCCACCCTCGGAGAAGTCCAAGTCTGGATACCGATTACAATAATTGTGTAGTTCTCTTGGTAATTGCATTATAGTTACGCACACATCTACTACAAATACTCGTACATTTATCAAGCCCACCAATATCTATGTATGTTTGGATCATCTAAACTGTCTGCTAAATTCATATTTCATATTTACGGCTTCTTCCATCCGGGTGTGTGTGTGTGTGCGTGTATATATATATATATATATATGTATGCGTGTATCTATATATGTATGTAGTATATTTGCTGAAACGTTTGTCGTCGTCCGCTCATCTGGTTTAGTCGATTTAAAGATTGCTTATATGTTTCAAAGTTAGTTGCTTCCATTTCTAGTTACTTATATTCTCAAACAGTAGAAACAAAAATATATATATATTTTCTTTTTTTTTTTTTTTTGTTTTAAAGGATATTTCCCATTTGTTTTGTTTTGTTTTGTTTTTGCTTAGTGCAAGAAGAAGAACTTCTTCAGTGGGTTCAGTTCGTACAATAAGTATAAAATGCAATGCACTATGTATAAGTATATATGCTTTTTTGTATGTACTCGTAAGTATGCAAGGTAAGTTAAGGATAACGATATTTTGACACAAACTAAACATAATAGTTATAATTATACATACAAAATGTAATGCATGCAGAGAAAGCAGCAAATATGCAAGCCAGACTCGAAAGCAACAAAAACATAAACCAAAGTTACAAATACAAATACAAATATATATATATATTCCATTTTGCGTAAATATTTATGCCCTTATATATATTTGGACATATCAATATGTGTGTATGTATGTATGTGTGTGTGGACAGCAACAATTCAAGATACACCATTTACGATTTAGTTTCAGGCTTTCCAATGTCCGTCCCGCCCGCTAAAGTTCCTGTGCCGTTAATCGCACTTAATGGACATTGAGAAACCAGTCCTAATTAACTATATATGAAGAATATATTTAAGATTGTTTGGTGATTTAGCAGTAATTATGAATTAAAGGGGAAAACAGTAGCGTTTGCTGTTTGCTGATCTCTCAAATGTTAAAAGGCTAAGAAATATCTATTGAATTAATTTTTTGCCAGATATAGATGCATTTGTACAGTACATTTAACCTGCTCTTTCTCTACACACACACGCCTATACTATATTAGATACTTAAATAGTTGAAATCTTGGTGGTATGCATATGGGTTTTATTCATAATTGGGTTTACCATTACTCACATACAAACTAACGTCTACGAGAAGCTATTAAAGAAGTGGCGCGAGGGCGAGGCATAGATCAGGAGACTGACAGAGCTGGGGGAAGCGACAGTTGGTTTGGCAGTTGGTTTCGTTGCGCGTTACATCAATTAAAGGCGGGTGTGTGGCTCCTCCACCTACTCCTACTCCTACTCCCACTCCTCCTCGTCCATTCCTCGCTGCGCTGGAGAGCCGAAGCCGAATCCGGAGTAGGAGTCGCAGCTGGGGCTGATGGCCCCATTTGCATTTGGAATACGATTAAGGGGATGGGCATGCGTATGCGTATGGGTATTGGTATTGACATTGGAACACCATGGACGAAGCCCTAAGCTGCTTGGCTCTGCTGAGGATTGGCTGTGGTGGCTGCTGCCGCACCGGGATTGCTGGTAGCAGCAGTGCTGCCCATCGACGATCCTCCACTGGCAGTAGTCTGTGCCTGAGTCTGCTGCTGCTGCTGCTGATCAGCGCCGTCAAAGTAATCCGAGGCGTTGCCACGGCAAATGGGGCAAGTGCGATTGGACTGGAGGAAGCGATTAAGCAGTTAGTTGATGTCTCTGAGCTCAGTTGGCTGCAGTCTCGGACTCACCCTTAGCCATTTGTCCACACACTTGGCATGGAACTCGTGGGAGCAGGGCAGGACACGCAGAAGCTGCTTCAGCTCGAAGTCGCACATGCAGACCACACAAGAAGTTTGATCGCCTACCAGAAAAGTAAACAACTGATGAGGGATTCCTCGGCTCTGGTTCCACTACACTTACCATTGTGCACTTCCGGGTTGTATTTGTAGCTGGGCAGCTGATCGATCTCGTTGCGGGTCAGACCGCGTGGCTTGGCCTCGCCCAGGCGCTCGGCCAGACTGAGCAGCGCCTCGTAGTTTTCCGTCTCGTTGGTGTCCCCGGAGCTCAGATCGTGTCCGTTGTATGGCGACAGCGGGAACATGGCCCTGAAAGAGAAATCAGCCAGTTCATTAGTTCATTAGCCAGATGGCTGGATGGCGTTGAGTCTGGCGTAAACCTACAGGAAGTTGAGCAAGAAGCCCGGATTGATGATACCGGCCGTTGTCTGGATTTGCACGGGCGCCTGATGGGCGGCCAGTGACTGCGGCGGAAGAACATGCCGGTGTCCATGGTTGGCGGGCCAGAAGCGCGGTATGCGCCGATGGGGCGGGAATGTACGTCGCTCCGATGAGATGATGATCTGCTGCGGTCCGGCCGACATCTGTGACAGTTGCCCAGCGGCTGCGGCCGCTGCCGCCGTGGAATGTAAGTGGTGACTGGCCGCCGCCGCCGCTGCAGCCCCGCTAATGGGCGTGATGTGAATGCCGGGCGGCAGCTGGTGTGGATGCGGATGGGCGTGGGCATGGGCGTGGGGGTGAGCATGCGGTCCCGGGGCTTGTCCGGCGCCTGCTGCATGGTGACCGTCCATGTGGTGAGCACCCGGCGGGTCAATGGGAGTCAAGTTGGCCACAGCAATGGCGGCAACGTCTCGCTGCTGCTGCTGGGCCGTCAGCGTGGCCTGGGCCAGCATGTGCTGGGCAGCGGCCGCTGCGGCGGCCATCTGCGTGGGCGTCGGCACCTGGGTCACCTGCATGGGCGTGGCGGCGGCCAGACCGGGTGGGGCAGCGGGGAAGGGCTGCGTGTAGACGCCGTGGAGGTGGCATGGGGCCAGGCGTGCCTGTGCTGGCATCGGGTAGGTGCAGAAGGAGGCCCAGAAAGGCTCCTGGCGCAGGGCCAAGCTAACGGGCACCTGGTTCAGATTGAGGTCCACCATCAATGAGGCGGACGGCGGCGCTGGCGCATAGCCCACCGTCTGCTGGTGGCTGGGCGGCTGTGGCGCTGCCTGCACCTGCTGCAGTATAGTCCCCACCGAGCTGCTCGAAGGTCCTCCGCCGCCTGCATTGCCTCCCGGCATCGCTCCATTGCCGCCCAACTCCCAAGGGGAGCGCTGCGGATGCGGTGGCTGCTGCTGCTGGGCCGCATAGTGCTGCGGCTGATGGTGGTGCAGCTGGTGGTAGTTGGGTGGCTGCTGCTGCGGCTGGTGGATCTGCTGGGCGTATTGCTGCTGCCCCGTGGAGGTGGCCAAATCCCGCAACCGCGGCCGACGCAGTGGCGGACTTCCCTGCTGCATCTGGAGGGGGTAACCAAATATTTAAGTCAATTAATCGAGATTCAAATTAAACAATTAGCTTGGGATTGGGATTCGTTATCTGCACCAAAAGACTCACCTGGGCAAGAAGGCATCGGTGCGGGGGCTGCTGTGCACCACCCTGCGGTCGGCCCGAGATGCGGCGACGCTTGCGCGAGGGACTGTCCGAGTTGAGGCCCACAGGCCCGTTGTTGAGCGAGAGGGTTGAGCCCGATAGCCCAGAGCCAGAAGGCATTTCACCCATTAGACCCGGACCACCTGTTGATGTAGATGCACCGTTGTTGTTGTTGTTGTTGATGATGTTGTTGTTTCCATAGCCATTGCCCATATGCTGATAATGGGATCCGTTTCGACCATAGCCGTTGGTGCCTGGGCCTCCGCCATTGCGCATAAAGTTATACGACGAACCCTCGGCTCGATGGTCGGGACCACCTTGATCCTGGTTGCCAAAGTGCTGGGTTGAGATGGAAATGAGAAATGGGAACGGGAAATTATTAATCGACGACTAACTACTGGAGGAGAAGTGTAGAAGTAGAAGTAAAAGTATAACCCACGTTATTGTTATTGCTTAGATTCCTCTCATTGTAGCTGTTGCGCTGGTGGTGGCCGGGATTGTTGTGACTGTTCATGGATGCGGATGCATTGTTCAGATGATTATCGGTCATGTGGCGACGGTTGTGGTTGTGTCCATTGCCGGAGTAGTCCCTCGACAGTGCTGGACACACGCCTCCCCCACGACGATAGTTCATGTAATCGGGCGGTCCATTCACGTTACCGTTACCGTTACCGTTAGCGATTCCGTTGCCGTTGCTGTTACCAATACCGTTGTTGCTGCCGTTGATGTTGATTCCGTTGACATTGCCACCGCGATTGTTATTGTTGTTGTTGTTGTTGTACCCGCGCTGGTGGTGGCTGTGACTGTGACTGGGTCCGGAGGAGGATCCCTGTCCCTGGTTGTGGCTATTGATGGGTGCGGATGCAATATTAATTTGATGTTGTTGTTGAGGCAGCATTGACGACGAAGACGACCCATAAGGAATTATATCGGTACAAGAATTTACATTCACAACATCAGTAGGATTACTATTTGTTGTTTGTGGATTGGTTGAATTGAAAGTTGTTGCGTTTGTTGAATTTGAATTCGAATTCGTTCGTGTTAGCGGGAGGGATTGGCGATTAGTCTGTTGCTGTGGCTGATTGTGGTGTGGATTGTGTTGGTTCTGATGTGGGATTTGCTGATGATATTGATGGGCATGTGGATGTGGATGGGGATGGGGAGGAGGCTGCTGGGCATGTGTCTGATTCTGATTCTGACTACGAGTGGGCACGAAATGATTAAGGCTGCTCTGCCCACGATGGCATGGCCCATGATCGTTGGGACGTGGATGTGGATGGGGACTGGGACTGGGACTGGCAGGACTGATAGGACTAGTGGCAAAGGACACTACGAGAGGCGAGTGCCGTTGACTGGGTGGCGGGGGCGAAGGATCCGATGCGGGGCCAACTGTCAGACACAAGCGGGCGGGATTCAGTCGGACCACGGACACGGACATGGAGCCGTATGTGTGGGTTTGTGCCCCGCTGGTATGGCAAATGTCGTAATAGTTTCTACAGTTATTCGGATTCAGATTTGGATTGGGAATCGGGTTATTGTGGCCTCGACTGCTGTGGTGGTTCTGTTGTGTGGCTGTTCTCGAGCTGCTGTTATGGTTATGGTGAGTATTGCTACTTCCGTTTGGTGAGTATGTTGGGTACGCGTTTGATGGGGGACGGTAGCTGTTATACTGAGGTGGGGCAGAGTAAGTATGCGGATGCGGATGCGAATGCGGGTGGGGCTGTGGCAGTGGCAGTGGCAGTGTCTGGGACTGAGACTGAGATGGAGACTGAGGGTGCTGGTGATGAGTGGTTGTGGTTGTGTTGGTGGTGGTGTGACCTTGACTGTGGCCGCTGTGGTGGTGATGATGATGCGCTTTGCTATTGTTATAAATACAAGTTCCGCTAGAATTACTTGTTTGTACATCGCTGGATTTTCGATTTAGGTTTGCAGTTGCGTTTAGATAATATGTAATACATATAATACGTATATAGAGAGTATAATATTCGGTTTACGAGATACAGTTGAAAATGGTTCAATCAAATCAATGCAGTAGCAGTGTGTGGTAGTATAAACACAACCCATATATAGTTATTTTGTATGCATATACATGTACAGGTAGTAGTAGGTAGTAGTAGTAGTAGTATTAGTAGTAGTAGTGTACATATGCAGAGTGGTAGCCACACACATATACGTTATTTATATAGTTTTTATTTTGCAGTATTTTTCGGTTTTGTTTTTTTTTTTTTTTTTTTTATATGAAGAAGAAAGAAAAACGAAAAAGATAAAAATAATATATATGTAAATGGCAAAATGCAATAATTAGATTATTAGTTTAATATAGATATATATATATATATTTAATATCAATATGTACACACACATAAATATACGTGGTATAGCGGCAATGTGTGCATATGCAGCCAGCTGATTCTACAACGGCGGAATTATGTTATAATAAAATTATGTAATGTGGAGTCTAAAGTCTATATATTTATTCCCGATTCGTACATATATCCAATAGCCGATATCCTGCATATGCACGCATCTGTACTACACACACCATATGCATTTTTAGTATAGAACAAATACGTACGTACTAATTTGTTTTCACTTCGTTTGCTTTTCTATTTGTCTTTTGGTTGAATGTTTGGTTTTAAATGCATTTTAGATGGAAATTTGGTTAGTTTGCTATTTTATTTATTTATTTGTTTCTGCTTTGTCTGAATGCACACTACGCTTTTACCAAAACGGAAATCAAAACAACAAAATGCCAATTGCACACTCTCTTCCGTACTATTCAAATCGAACCGAATGGAACGGAACGGAGCGGAATGGAACGGAACACAATTGAACGTAACGTAATGTAACGACAGCCTGAGCGTAAGACAACGTAAGGCCGGTCGCAGTAGCCAAACACGAGAGAGAAATGTTGGATACGTATGTACGAGTAGATATGTATGTATATTTTTTTGTTTTGAGAGAGAGCTATATATATATATATATGTATATATATATAGAGAAATAAGAGAGAGAGAGAGAGTGCTGGTCATGCTCCAAAACTATACAAAAGAGAAACGCAAAACGTAAATAAACTGGTACAAAAAGAACTCGTATACATACATACATATGTATGTATATGTATGTAATTTACTGTAAGCTCGAGCTTTTTCAGCCGTGTGCGCGGAAGAGGTGGATGGATGTCCTCTGCGTATACGAGTACGTATGTAGACGTAAGCGCAACCGTAACCGTAACGTAACCGCATGCGAATGCAAAGCTTTGACAAATACTTAGCGGGGGGTGAGAACAGAGATCAGATCCGAGTGATCGGGTCTATCTATACATTATGTAAATATAGTATATATTTATGTATGTGTATACCTACATATATATGCATGTATGTACGTACATATACGGCACACAGCAAGAGAGATATAGATAGAGTGAGAGAGAGAGAGAGAGAGGGGTGGGGCGAGGGCGTTGGCGGGGGGGGCGTAGGCGTGTCTAAGCGCCAAACATTATCGTGTCAACGGCAACACTTACGGACTAGATGCAAAAGCTGCAATTGCAATTGCAACCAGCTATAAACCAAAGAACAACTGAGTAGAATGACAAATCATACAGAATACAGAGTACTGGATAAACAGAGTGTGACAAAGACCATACTATAATGCTTTACTGTACACAGACACACACGTATACGTATACAAAGAGTAGAAGAGTAGATAGAAGAGGGATAATTGCAGTGGAAATAATAATGGGGGTAGGAAGAAGTACAAATAGTATGTATGTAAGAAATGCTCGAACGCATGTAAGTACTATTGTAGGAGCACGAATAAGTAAGTACTATTTAAATTTGAAAAAGAGTTACATATGTATGTAGTTGATTTACTGGTACGAGTTCGAGTACGAGTAGTGGTACATAATTTGGTAATTTGTTGGTTTGCACTGTTTAGGTTTAATTAAATTATTTCATTTGGTTTGGAAGTTCTATTGGGTACATTTAAACTGTTGGTTAAACATTCTAAGCCGCAGTGTGCAAAATGCAAATAAATAAGTAAAACATTAAGCTGAGTTTGTTGATCATTTTGGCAAGATATATGTAGATATATGCAGATCCGACTCGGAGCGGATGGACTAGACTGGACTGGACTGGAGCTACTGCAGGTAAGCAAATTACATCAATCAATCCATCAATATAGTATGTACTTAGCTATCAATCAAGAAACTCAACTAAAATGCATATCATTCATAAAATGTTGAATTGAAAGAAAATTACAACTATTTACGGTACGGTTTGGATAAAGAGGAAATTTTGTAACTAAATTCATACTTGGCTTGCACTTTTTCACGCTTGCATTTCATATATAGTAAATACGATTAGTAGCGAATCTTTTTATCATCGCATTATGCTTGTTGTTAATTTTGTTTCGACTGGTTGGTTGGTTGGTTTGGTTTGGTTGATTCATGTTGTTGGATAGTTTTAACGTATAGCATTGAACTTGAAGCAAAAACTATGCGCAAAACGAAAATAATATTAACCAAATAATAGTTACATAGTATGAGTATATATGTATGTAACGAAAGATCAAACTAAATCGGTGGGTTCAAGTGGGCCTGTGGTCTGGTTGGTTGTGGGATCGGGGGACTGCGATTGCGGGTAATTTTAATGAAGGAAGGAACTCTTGGGCTTAAGTTGAACGAAGTAAAATTTCAATAAAAGATAAGGGCACACAAGGTAAGAGGGGTATACTTAATATGATACTTAATATTTAAGCAAGAGTCCAACATGGTAGGGGAACCGTGGAGGTTCATTATGTGCATTGTATAATCCCCCTAAGGGATCCAATGAGGGAGGATATTACAATTATTTAGAACAAACAAATTGCAAATCAAACAAATGCCCATCCTTATGCCGAAAGCTTTCACTGCTCTCATATGTATGTGGGTATGTATGTACATATGTAGGTATGTATATTCTGCTAGGTGGTGTGGTCAATATTTCCCTCTTTGCGGTGATGCATGAAAAGCACTTACACTTCCATATGGTTCAGTATGTTGGAGTTGGCAACACGCTTCCCCCTCGACGTTCTTCCTCTTCACTTTTCCACAACCGATTCCCGTTAAATATATTAACTTAGCACTAAGAGATGTGTTCTACGGACGAGGCCGCTAACTATTGTGAACAAAGCGAACATCTTATAGCGGTAGAGTGATTAAGGTACCAGCTACCAGAAACAAGACAGTCAGTGTGAAAGAGAGGAAAGGATTTCGATGGCGATTGGGGTAAGCCCCTCCCCGGAGGAACACTTGGCAGTCAAGGATGTGTATAAAGAGAGAAAGGGAGGGAGAGCATGCTGGTAAGTAAGTATGGTAAGTATGGAAGTCCGTCAGGCGCTCTTCACTTTAACTGAATAAGCTTTTTGGAGAAAGAAACGACTACGAAACTGAAGAGAAAGTTCTACATATGTAATAAGTTTTGGTCGCCATTTTCGAGTGCTTTTCATGCATTTTCTTGGGGAATTCTTTTTGGTATACGAACAGAAACATTGAACGTTCTTTAAATGGTTAAAATCGAGATAAGAGTTTCTGATTCTGTTATTACGATATCTTCTACGGAGTTTCACACGTTTCAAATGCTTGTATTTGGAGTAGAAGCGGTTAGAGAATGTACATACGATTGCATTTATTTAAATCAAACAACAGAAAAAAAAACTGTTCTTGCTGTGGTGTGTGATCGATCTTGTGTGGGGGGTAGGGGTAGGAGTAGGGTATGTATGTATGTATGTATATGTATGTGGTATGCGAGAGGATAGATACAACGATATTTAGTATTCATGGTAATTAGGTTTAAGTGGATTAAGTGTGCCAATCTCGACGAAGAACAAAAAACACAAAATGTACAGTACGCAACAGAACGCAAGAGAGTTACAAATGATCAAGAAGTAACAGTAACAGTATTCATTATTTTATGTGGCGCCACATTTGATGGCGATGCAAGCTTTATTATTTAGTGCTTCGAAAATTCAACGCTTAGGACCAATAAAATGTTTGGTTTGATTCAATTCAATTCAATTTGATTCGATTTAATTTGATTTGATTTTTACTACACGCGACATTAATTACAAAATTCTCCCTTTAGCCTAAAAGCGATTTTCGATTCGGTTTCATTTTAGGTGTGGTTACGAAGTAGATAGATAGAGATAGAAAGTAGATAAACTGTTCTAGTCGTGGGGAGCGTGGTAGGGGAACGAGTTACAAGGACATGTTTTGTTATTTATGGCAGATCGAGGCATCGAGGATGGGGCATGGGGATCGAAGGGATCGAGGGGATCTCGGGAGCGGACGGGGGTTGTTTCAAATTCGCTTTTATGTCACTTAAAGCTAACATAAATTCGACCGATCCTTGGGATCGAATCGAGTACAAGATCTAACGCAAGCGGCTCTCGGCTCTTACCAATTTGAGTTTCGGCCGTCGATTGCATCTTTGTTATTGTTGGCATTGTTGTTGCTGCTGTTGATGTTGTTGAGGTTGTTTCCGCCTGTTTCATTGCCACGCCCCATCACATTGACATTGCACCAGGGACTGTGACCCGGCAGGAGGCTGTTGCTGTTTGACCGCTGCTGTTGCAGTAGCTGCAGCTGCTGCTGGGACTGTTGCTGGGGGTGCGGATGGAGATGTGGATGCGGATGCGGCGAGTAGAGCATGCGGCCACCGCCACCTCCGCCGCCGCGATGTGAGCGGGCCGAGGAGGAGTTGCGGGAGAATGGCCGACGACTGCTGGCCCCATGATTGTTGTTAATGTTGTTGTTGCCGTTGCCGTTGCCACCATTGGCATTGGAGTTGAGCATGGCGCTGCGCTGCTCGCAGAGCTTCTGGCTCCTCGATAGTCAAGCGACGCCGTGCAGTGGATTCCGATTCCGAGTCGACCTGACCTATTCCCCACTTACTTTTACTTGTACTTGAATGCGATGCGCTGCGTCTGCTTCTGCCTCTGTTGCTGCTGCTGTGGCAGCTCTTGTTCTTACTGTTTTTCGACTTGTAACACCACCTTTGTTTTTTCTATATTTACGCAGCCTGTGGGGGGTGTAGAAGAAAAGAGGAAACCGCTTTTACAGTCAGCTGAGCTCGAACAGTTACTTTTTGGTGTTTGGTTTATTTTACTTTGGTTTATTTGATTGTACGAGTATTTTGCTTATGTAGGAAGGTAATCTAAGCCGGACCCGCGCTCCAGAACAGAAAGCAAACAACCAACAAGCCAACATGCTCAATAACAAAACATTTATGGTTCTCTAGTAGGCAAAATACTTACTTACATATGTATGTACGTGGGTAAGGATAATAAAATATATATATTTATATGTGTGTGTGTATATGTTTGTTTTTATGTGTGGGCTGGCTATATGTAAATATGTATTCATTGTAATCGTAATAAATAAAACAGCAACAATTTTCAGTTTCGTTCAACAGTGTAGCTTTAATATATTGTCAATTATATGGAACTGAGATGAGATACGTGCGTGGTTAGTCTTTCAACTAAAGTTATACGGGGTCGGACTAAGATTAAGTTTGGTCCTAAGCAAGAAAACGGCACTTTTTGTTCTTATTTTAGTGTTTAGTTCACGTTTTTCGAATATAGTCAAAACGATCTCTGGGATCGAATCGAGTCAAGGTACGAGTTTCACGATTTATATCGATGCTTGGCATTTTTAAAACTCTTCATATTTATTTTTAAAGTTTTAAACTTGGGCAGTCTTGTGTTTGGCTTAGGCACATTGCAGTGAAAATTCGAGTCTTTTGCTTTCAAAATAAGTCATGGTTTGGTACTTAGGCCAGAAAATAATATTCTCGTTTTTATACGGTATTCTATCAATGCACATCGTAAGAAGAGGAAGACATTTTTGTTACATTTTGATTTTTGAGAAAATATTTGCCTATCATTTTTCGACGATGTACAAGACTGAACCGATCATGCGTTGAGTTGTCTAAATGAATTTAATAGTGCGTTTTGCTCGTACCCTACTTTTGCTTTTGCGTTTTCTTGCTTGGATCAAAATCCCTTCGGTCCGTCCCCGTATGTACATACATACATACGTATATACGATATAGATATATGAAGATACAGTACGATATATAGTTAACAGTTAAACATATGTGTATGTGTGTAAATGTGAGTAAAGTAAAGTAAAGTGTATTCCTTCTGAAAGTGTGATAAGCAAGAACAACAAATTGTACACTTTCAGTGATTCCAGTTTTTGAGTTGTTAAACACGATAACCTATCGTTAAGCGCTCCCCCGTCCCCTCATACATCATACATACGAGTATATATGTACATACATACGATATTTATCTCTATGGGTGTGGATGTTGTGTGCTTAACATGAATGTGGTGTAAACTGAACAGAAACAATATTAGTGGATGGAGGGGAAAGGGGAAGGGGATGGGTTGTTTTGGTTTGGTTTCCTTTGAGGAATATGGATAGATGGATGGATGGGTGCGAGGAGAGTGGGGGAGGGCAGGATGACTGATTACAAACTTATCACTTATCGCTGTGTGGGCGGGGGGCAGTTAGTACAATTGAAAGATTCCAGATCAGAGAGCGACAGATAAGAGAAGGTTACACTTAACGTACATGTGTTTGCGCTGTGTTTTTAGGGTGTGTGTGTTTATTGGTTGGTTGGGCGTTGGGGGATATGTGCTCTATAGGTAGGTAATATACTATGTAAATACTACGCGTAAAGTCGGAAACGAACATGTGCAAAGTAAAACAAACAGTGTGACAGAGTTGTGTAGTTATACTCGTATTGTAAATATTATATATGGATGGGGGTTAGATCGTATTGGAACCATTAAAAAGGAACGTAGGACGAATACAAATAATTACAAGATGGCTATTCCAAAATGGTACATGTTAAAAATATTTTGTACTTGGTACTTAGTCTTTTCTTTTTTTTTCTCTCGTATTCTACGGGGTGGCTAAATGGAAACTGCAAACCCCTTTTAAACTGTTAATGAATGTAAGCAAATCACTCGTATGGCATTTGCCACTCCAGTGTTCAAATGGCTGACCGTTTCTGCTGGTTTGAAAATGATATCAGTTTAATTGGGTTGCAGTTCCATTAGGCCATGCTTTATGCTTTTTAATTCAGTATGTTTTAATAATGTACAAAAAAGAAGCTTACAAACTAAAGCCGTTCTGTCGCCAGTTGCAGTAGACGGTTGATAGATTGGTTGGTTGTTGATTTTTTGGTTGGTTGAGAGGTTTGTTGGTTGGTTTTGGTTTCGTAGGCAGTACAAGGACTATACGTATACATATATAAGTTGGCTAGTCAGCTTGAGCTTTGGGTTGAGTAGTTGAGTTGAGTACAGGTTGAGTAGAGGTTGAGGTGTGTGCAGTTTTTTGTTTTCAGTTTGCAGTTTGCATTTGCAATTACGCTTTGCGGTAGTTGGTCAGTGAGATTGAGATACAGATACAGCAATGACAATGTCAACGGCAACGGCAATGGCGGTCTTATGTGGTACATAGTATGTATTTAGTATACATTTCGGTTTTAGTTGTTGATATTTCAGTATCGGTTTGTTTTTACATGTGGATATACGAGTCAAAAAAACACTTGATGATCGGTATTCATTGAGAGACGTGTGTGTTAAAGAAGCGGGAGCACGTCTGGCCACGGCCGTTAAAAATGCAAATTTACCACCAAAACCAGCAATAAAATATTGTATGTATGCTAAAAACAAAGAAAATAAAAGTAAAAGAAAACATTTGCTATTACATTCGGTTGAGAAACTAATTACTGGGATTTTGATTTTGGACTATTATTCTTTTAGTTTTGTTAGCATTACAGTATGTACGAGTATATGTAGGATAATATTCAAATATATTGACTATATATATATTGTAAAAGCCTTGTTTTTAAATGCGGCCAATGAGTAGCGAATGCCAATGTTATGTAAATTAGATGTAAGAAAGTAGGCAGGGCAGGCAATAAATATATTGTACAAATGCTGGACTATTATAGCGATTATGGTTGTAATTGTGGTTCAATTCGTGTGACTTGCAGACCGGCGGAGGCGGGGAGAGAGCTAGAAGTGCGTGCGACTGGAGCTTGGGGCAGGGTCGGTCTCGGCTGGGCAACACTTTCCGCACACCGACAGAGTGCCACCCCCCCTCTTAAAATTAAAACAATAAATTATAAAAATATATACATACATACATACAAAGTATTCCAGAGTCCGGACTCCGGACCCCACCAACGCACACACACAACACACACTAGTAAAGCTATCAGAGACGGACGAGAGCAAGAGCAGCTGGAGAACGACGAGAAATACAGAGAGCCACACACACACACACATTTACACATATACAACACACACAAAGAACGCAAGAGAGAGGACACTGGTGTACGTCGTCTCTTGTTGTTGCTATTGCGTAGTCATGGCAGTCAACTTCATCGACGACTGCTCTTTTTTTTCGTTACACACATTCGATTATATGAATGTGAATATGTATACTATGAAAGCTCGCTGGCTGGTTTTTGGTAATTACAATAGCGTTTCAAAATACGATGATGGGGCAAATTGTGCCTGTGTCTGTATATCCAATATATGCTGCACATATACATATGTATGTATAGCATATATGTATGTATATTAATATTGGCTCTCTATCAAAACATCTTCATAACTACACTTTACATACAGGCACACACACACAAGCACTAGGGCCAGGCCATTGCTAAATTGTTGATGGGGCCAGAAAATAAATAATGTTACACACCAGACGATAGCGAAACTAATACCAGCCCGAGCTCTCTGAACGCAGACAAAGACGCAAATGTTTCTCTCTTCTGGCTGTAGCTCTGAGTATAGATATGGATGGAAAATCGAAACTCTGTGTCCAAAGTGCTCCCCCCGCAGCAGAGTACGGACAAAATCTCACAAGTTCACACACACACACATATACACAGAAGTGAACTCACAATGACAACCACTTCGTCACCAGCAGATAAAAAAAGCTGCGTTTTATGTAATTTCACTACATACATACTTTAGCAAAGGAGCACAATTTATATTACACAGTACCGCAACATAAATTCGATATTGGATACAAATTGCACTTGATTAACAAAGAAATTTTCTTTATTTTTTGGGAGTTTACCTTTTTAGAGGTGTCAAACCATCGAGGGCACCATCGATATTATCGATATTTTACTGCTAGTCTCTACTATCGACGGTTTTGCGACTATCATGATAGTATCGAGCTACAGTCGTTGCGCTTTTGATATGTTTGGATTGGCTGCTATAAAATACGAAGACAAATTTGTAAAAAAAATCGACAGGTGGCATCTAATTTTTACAATGGACAAGTTCCTAAAAGGTTTCAATGATTTTTTAATAATTATTTCAGCCCGATACTATCACGATAGTATCGATTGTTTTTTCAAAACATTCGACGTTGATATTCCTCGATATTGATGTTCCGTTTAATATTACCAGCTAGCTGGGACTCTCAGCTCTAAACAAATAATTTTATGCGATAGATACATAAATTTTTTACAAGATTGTCAAGTTCTCAGAAGTCCTTTTTATTGCATTATTTACATATTAAGGTTCAAATAAGAACAACTTAAAACGAATGTGACGTCGTTTTGTGGCGTTGCCAGACTCGTGCAATTCGTAGTTGCTGCGGGCTGCCATACCATGATATATTGTAATATGAAATTCGTCAATTTTGATATTTAATATTACTAGATAGTACAAATAATGAACAAATAATTTTATCCAATTCCTAAATGAATTTTGTTCAGGATTGCTTAGTTTTAAGAAATCTTTTTCATTGGATCGTTTACATATTAAGTTTCAAACAAAAACGGCCAAAGCATAAAACGTAAATGTTGACTAAATGTGACGTCACATGTTGCTGGTCAACCAAGTTTCTTCTATGCGTATGGATTTTTGTATACCTCATTTCCTTTAATTGATGTTAAATTTATTGTTCCAAGCTGCTTTGAACATTTTGAAAACTCTCCACGAATTGAGAGCGAGTTTTGCAAACTCTCCACGAATTGAGAGCGAAAAATGTCAGTATTTTTGGTGCGCTAAATTGAGTTTGGCGGTCAATTTGAAATGTGTCTTAATATTTGGAAAAATAACTTGATTTGTTTTGTCGAGTGACCTTAGGAACCGAGAACCAGTAAATAACAAAACAAAAAAAATTAATAACTAATAATTTTTTTAGCCCGATACTATCATGTAGTATCGATTGTTTTTTTTTCAAAACATTCAAAGCTATCGATGGCTCAACTATCAATCGTTTGACAGCTCTATTGATTAACAAAGAAATTTTCTTTATTTTTTTTGGGAGTTTGCCTTTTACTCGACCTGACCAACCAGTGTGACCGCGGAGTTATAGATAAAATATACCGTCTAACTCTCAGAAATATACCGTAGTATACCAAAAATTAAGTAAATATACCATTATATACCGATATTCCATAAATAGTGAACAAACTTAACCCACTTAGCCACCCCCTTTTTATAAAAAGGTGAGCAAATTAAATCGCGGAAAATATTAACGGTATATTTCAGATGAACTGCGCTAAAATGTTTAACGTTTTCCAATGTTTGTACGTATACCATACCCCCTATCATATTCGTGATCGGAAATAATATTCCTCAATTTTGATATTCGGTTTAATATTGCTAACTAACTAGGACCCTCGACAATGAACACATAATTTTATGTGTCTAAGATGACATGATAAACATTTCCTTAATTCTATAACTTCCTTTTCCCAAGGGTAAGTCCTTGATTTTGACAAAAGAGAGCAACTCCCAGCACTGAGACCACGATTGAAGAGACCGTTACATCCCGCCAACGATATGTACATGTATATCAATTCATGGCTGGATTTTCAAAAGGGAAAGATAACTTTGTATTATTGAATGCGAAATAATCCCCCCGCTTCGATATTCAAACAGTTTTTCCGCATCACAAATTGTGATTATCTATTATTATTATTATTAGTCTTTAGAATTTACTGAAAAGAAATTGAGACAACAATGGATTCGGCAGAAGATCAGATATCTCTATAATACTTGTTCAATTAGTGTTCAAAGTAATTAAAGCATTTAAACTCTATCATGCGTAAATAAATATAGCATTAAATAACACGTTGGTGTCATTCAAATGGTATTTTTCCATCAAGACCAGGAACGATGCGGTGCCAGCTGATGATCTGTGCGGCCATCGGATTATTCCTAGCATTCAACATCAATGTTAACGTAAATATATGTGAAATACTAATAAAGTGGACAATTGTGAACAAAGTTTTCAGGATGCCGTCATCTTCAAGTTTACAAACATCGTCTGTGAGAGCTACAATCAGTCATGGGTCGTGTTCCGGTACTGTCGACTGAAGGCTGTCGGCCGGGACAAAGTTCATCTCAACATAAATGCGACGATACTACACCCAGCTTATAACATAACAAATCATGGAAAGATATTCAAGAGAGCAAGTGGATACAAGCCATGGCTATTGGACACCACTGTGGATGCCTGTCGATTTATGCGGAAGAATTACGATCCCTTCGCCAAAATAGTCTTCAGTCTTTTCAGAGAATTCTCAAACATTAACCACACTTGTCCGTATGTGGTAAGCTCTCGTCTAGTCAACACAATAATAGTTTCTAACAATTTCTAATTAAAAGGGACACCAAATATTGAAGGATTTTTATCTAAAACCCGAGCTGTTGATGCTACCCTTTCCCACCGGCGATTATTTGCTGTCTATGCGATGGTACTTCGGCAGAAGGCTGCAGTTTGATACGAATATAAGCTTCGTTTTCGTGGAGGATCTCCTGAAGAGCTAATAGCTGGCAGTACCTACAGCAGATCCCTGAAGATCCAATTAAATTGCAACCAATTATTGTAAATTTTTTCAAAATGCGAGTCTGTGCAAATTTATAAATATTAAATTACATGAAGTGTACAGAAATTGGAATGGAAATCAGTTATCTATATGTCATACATATATTGAAAATCGGTCGATTAGAAAATAATTAAATATTGGTATATTAGAAAATTGTGACCGGGTCGCTCTTTCAATGACCTATAAAGTCTGAACTCCCTCTATATCAATGGGTTCCTAAATTCTACAATGATCCAGGACTTTAACTGAAAGCCCAGGAATTTCCCATTCCAAAGTGCTGTCGATACTGTTGTTATTTGAAAAGCAGCTCGCATGGCCTTCACATCGCGAAAAGATATCCGAACAGCAAACAAGAAATATGAGTTTTACCAACGATTCTATAACACGTTCTATAGAATCTTTGGTGTTACCAATAGAAGGATCTATTTTACAATTCAAGAATACAGCTTTCTTAAAGAAGAATACCCTCTGGAAATGTATGCAGTCCAAACTTGTATTCTGTGTTCTATTCGGAATATTTATAGTTCTTCATTCGATTTTAATGTAAATATAACTTTAAACTTCCTGTGAAACAGGTCATTCATTAATTAAGGTTGACAGGATGCGGTAGTATTCAAGTTTACAAACTTCGTCTGCGAAAGCTACAATAAATCCTGGGTTTTTTTCCAGAACTGTCATTTGAAGGCCGTCAGTCGCATCAGAGTGTTTCTCAACATAAATGAGACGATATTGCATCCGGCCAACGATATGACAGCTCATGTGCGGGTGTTCGACTTTAACTTTAATGTCTGTCTGTATTTAAGACGGCGAAATCTACTAATTGTTAATATACTATATGGGCTCTTCTAAAAGTTTCCCAAAATGAATCACACATGCCCCTACGTGGTAAGATTAAACGGATCTTTCTCAAAACTTAAACAACGTACATTTTTATTACAGGGACCACTAGAATTCAAGGGCTTGTATCTATGTCCTGAACAAATGAGTCTTCCTATTACAACGGGGGATTATATGCTGTATTTGCAGTGGTACTACGAAAAGAGGCTACAATTTGAAAACCAATGTTAGTGCTATATTCTTAGAGGATCTACAGAAGAGCTAAATAAATCATATGCAGCCAAGAATCATTGGGATGCAGTCCAAGCACCAAACTTCAGTCTGCACGCAAGCAAGTCTTTCAACACTAGAGCTTCTACCTACATGCTGTGTTTTTTTTGTTTTTACCTATAACGCCTCGTTTAAGAATATTTTTTTAAATGAGATACTACCGATGTTCTCCGGAAGTAATTTAAGCAACGTAGAACATGAACGTCAACATTTAATTGACTTTTTCATGCGGAAAAATGTATACTATTATATACATATATTATAAATAAATATATATATAGCATAGCCCAGATGATGGCAAAGCTGGCGTATGGATAGGTGAGAGTTGCATTGTCGATAATAGTCTCCCTCCCCCTCACGCGTTTTGCAGCGCTTTGGACAGTAAAGTCAGTCGCTGAGAATCGTCGATCCAGGCCGTTAACTGCAAACCGTAAAATATAATTTCCATAAGCTTTGTAACCTAATCATTTAAACTTGCGACATTACCCAAATGAAATATATAATTTGTAACTCCTACATAAATAACGTAGCGTAATCATAGGTACAAATTAAGAAAATCATTAAGGATTTTAAAAACCAAAGATAATACAAACATATGTATTTTAAAGTATTATGGGATTGTGTTTTTGTTATTCCAATTCCAATTTCAGCCCATCTAGTGGACAGAGGACCCAACTGGTGCGGACTGGATAGTATTTAGTTTAGAATTAGATTTCCTCAGTAGTATTGTGGTAAGCACAAGAGAGCGGACAGTCTGCCAAGTCCTTCTATGATCGTGTACGCTTCGGACGTCTTTGGGTCGTTTGTATGGGCTTATCGTTAGGGGGAAAGGCAGTGAGCCAGATATATGGAACCAGAACAGCAGACAAGGTCTGAACAGCCAGTTGCGTATAAAATGTACCACGATAGTCGTGAATAAGCAAAGGGATAAGTGTTTTCGCTAGGTTCATGGACGCCGCTGTAGTTGCTGTAAAGCTTCTCTTCTCCCTGACCCCAGAAAAAGCACAAGCGGTCACTATGAGTCCCATTCGAATTGGGGAAGAGTCCAGGCAGTTACCATTCCTCACATCCCACTGCGTGCAAAAGTCAGGACAAGTCTCCTCCGGAAAGCTCATCGCCACTCCCATGCAGCCGACTATCATCAGAAGCGCCATTGCGGTAAACTCACCCACAGCCCGAGAGAAAGTAGTTCCGTCCAGTATCATTGCGTCTCGAACGTGTCTGGAGTTGAAGCTGAGCTGCGTGTGACAGACGATTGTAAATTTCGAAAAAAATATATTTTTGACAGTTTTTGTAGGAACTACTCTCAAACAGGACCCGATTTATATTGAACAGGAAATCCACGGCCTGCCATACTACTAGATTAACCCTGAAACACACAGAAATTTAAACGAGACAAGAAACAGGTACAAAGCAGCAAGAAAGACTGGGACTGGGATGAAGCGTTCAAAGAATCGTATAAATAAAATGTTTCAAATCAATTTAATAATAAATTCGTACAATATATGTATGTGTATTTTAAAAACACTTGATTAGAATTGAACATAGTTTGAGGAAATAAATTAAGTCACGGGATGAAACGGTGAGTAGCAGAATGCTTACTTTTAATGAAGTGGAAACGGAAACAAAGGCACAGGATTCGGAAAGGCATGCGGTGTATGGTGTATGTTATGGCGATAAATTATAAATTATTCATCAAGAATTTCGGTTATTTTGGCACTCTCGGCAAACACGTCGGGTATTTCGGCGTCATCGGATCTCTCAATAATGCGATGTCTCTCCGCTGCGGCCAGGCACTGAATGGCCACCTCCCTGGCCTTGGCCCGCGACTCGTCCGGTAATTGGCCGAGGCCGCTCAGCAGCTCCATGATGTCCGTCTGGAAGAGCTTCTTGGCAGTTTCCTCTCCGGAATTGATCATGTTGAGTATTACGACAATGCCCCGATGCTGAACCGCAGGGCTGGGATTGGCTATCAGTGTGTGGAGTATGTCCAACCAGCTGGCAACGGCGAAGATCTTCTCACAACACTTCTCCGAAACAGAGGTGAGCATGGCCAAGGCCCCGGCACTGGCCATGGCTGTCTCCTCGTCCTCATCCTCGCAGAGAAGGGCCAGGAACTTGACCCGATCGTTCTCTCCCTCGAACATCTTGACCACGTCCGCGGACATCACCAGATTGCAGATGCATTGAGCAGCTGCTCGTGTTAAATGGACGTGATCTTCCATCAGGTAGAACTCGATCCTGGACACTCCCTGCTCCTTGACGATACGCTGGCGCACGCTTTCGTTCATGTTGGCCAAGTTGGTTAGGGCCATCAGCGCCTCAAAGTTCTCCAGTGCCGTACAGTCCTGATGCAGCAGATTCAGCAGCGGCCGAATGACATCGAGCGATCTTTGGCCGCTGAACGCCACCTCTGGGTTGATGGTGATGCCGATTCTGGCGAGAGCCTGGCAGGCATGCCTCTTTGCCCTTCTCTGTGCCCTCGAGGGCCATGCGCAGTAGCGCCTTAACGCCCCCATCTTGGACGACCTTTCCGCGCAGCTCCTGGAGTCCACAAACCGCATTCAGAACCCTGGCCATCAGCTCCTGCGAGTTGTGGCTCTCCGTCTTGGACAGCGCACAGAGAGCGGTAGTGATGCCCTCGTTGGCCAGGATCGTGATGCGCTTGTTAATGAAGTCCACGTCGTCCAGCTCGTGCTCCTCGGGTATGTGCTGTTTGGCGAACTTGGCCAGCTCGATCATTTCCGGAACCATTTCCTGCTTCTCGTACGCATTGCACAGATTCACAAAGGTGGTGACCACGCCGTACAGACAGGACTGGTCTCCGCCGCGGGTCAGCGCCATCAGAGCCTGAATGGAGGCCTTGTCATCGATCAGCTTCTCCTTGCATTCGGCATCGAGCGTGAGATAAGCCAGGCCATCGGCTGCCCAGCGTCGGATGTCCTTGTCCTTGCCGGGCTTGATCAGGAAACGGCGACAGGCCTCGGCCAGCTTGAGGGCTGCCCCATCGCCAAACGGCCGGATAGCTGCATCGCCACCACCGTAGCTACCAAGCTTGCACAATCCCACCAGGGCGCGCACTCGGATGGCGTCGTTTTTGGAGTGGTATAGCCGCTTCAGTATGTCGACGCCATTCTCAGAGAGAGCCTTGGCCTTGTCCTTTTTGGAGGAGGCGGCTATCAGACACTCGCATGCCACACGCTGCTGCAGCTCATCATCTGTGGTAGCCATGGCCAAAATCATCTGCAGAATGCCTACGAAAAGATCAGTTGTCAATCGAGCTATCCAAATCTCACCTCACTCGTAAGACTCACCCTCTCTGGCGATAATTTGGTTGCCAACATCCAGGGGACCACTCAGCAAGGCTGTTATGGTCACGATGACGCGCACCTTGGACTCCATATCGGGCGAGAGCAGCTTGTCCTTGATGAACTCGTCGATCTGATCCGCGAAGCGTAACTTGGCCTCGTCATAGTACATGTTCTCGTAGACCCTGGCCAGACAGACCGAGGCAATCGTAGAGGTGGACGAAGTTATCTCCATTGCACTCTCGTACTTGTAGTCCTCCAGCTCCGAGCACACCTCTAGGAGGCGGCACAGGCCGCGAATCTCCACCAGACGCTCGGCCCACTCCAGGGCCGAGTAGTGGATGTTTCTGGTGAGCAACTCTATGACGGCGTCCCGAGCTGGACCCGAAATGGTGCGATCCGTGATGCTGTAGACCAGGCAAGTGAGCAGAGTATCGATCTCTCGATTGTTTTTCGAGCAGAGCTCCTTGTCCGGCTTGGAGTCAGCCTTGTTCTTCAGCCCGGAGAGGGCGTTGATGATGGTCTGCAGGCAGTACTGGGCCGTGGCCACGCACTCCTCGTGCTTCTGGTCCAGGACACGCATAAACCAGGGTGGTCAAGCACGAGATCGGGCACTTGCCGTTCGCATCTGCTGAAATACGGCGCAGAGAACCGCATCACGGTGATGTGCGATAACGCTTTAATACAGACTACTGTGCCACAGGGTAGGATCACCGAGCTACCAAACGACGACGGCATGACGATAGTCCAGACCACCTTTTGTTTTTTTAAACTATCCCCAAGAGCAAAATTTGAAAACTCTCCACGAATTGAGAGCGAAAAATGTCAGTATTTTTGGTGCGCTAAATTGAGTTTGGCGGTCAATTTGAAATGTGTCTTAATATTTGGAAAAATAACTTGATTTGTTTTGTCGAGTGACCTTAGAAACCGAAACCATAAAAAAAAAAAAAAAATTAATAACTAATAATTTTTTTAGCCCGATACTATCATGATAGTATCGATTGTTTTTTTTCAAAACATTCAAAGCTATCGATGGCTCAACTATCAATCGTTTGACAGCTCTATTGATTAACAAAGAAATTTTCTTTATTTTTTTTGGGAGCTTACCTTTTTCTCGATCTGACCAACCATTGTGACCGCGGAGTTATAGATAAAATATACCGTCTAACTCTCAGAAATATACCGTAGTATACCAAAAATTAAGTAAATATACCATTATATACCAATATACCATAAATAGTGAACAAACTTAACCCACTTAGCCACCCCCTTTTTATAAAAAGGTGAGCAAATTAAATCGCGGAAAATATTAACGGTATATTTCAGATGAACTGCGCTAAAATGTTTAACGTTTTCCAATGTTTGTACGTATACCATACCCCCTATCATATTCGTGATCGGAAATAATATTCCTCAATTTTGATATTCGGTTTAATATTGCTAACTAACTAGGACCCTCGACAATGAACACATAATTTTATGTGTCTAAGATGACATGATAAACATTTCCTCAATTCTATAACTTCCTTTTCCCAAGGGTAAGTTCTTGATTTTGACAAAAGAGAGCAACTCCCAGCACTGAGACCACGATTGAAGAGACCGTTACATCCCGCCAACACTATGTACATGTATATCAATTCATGGCTGGATTTTCAAAAAGGAAAGATAACTTTGTATTGTTGAAAGCGAAATAATCCCCCCGCTTCGATATTCAAACAGTTTTTCCGCATCACAAATTGTGATTATCTATTATTATTATTATTAGTCTTTAGTATTTACTGAAAAGAAATTGAGACAACAATGGATTGGGCAGAAGATCAGATATCTCTATAATACTTGTTCAATTAGTGTTCAAAGTAATTAAAGCATTTAAACTCTATCATGCGTAAATAAATATAGCATTAAATAACACGTTGGTGTCATTCAAATTGTATTTTTCCATCAAGACCAGGAACGATGCGGTGCCAGCTGATGATCTGTGCGGCCATCGGATTATTCCTAGCATTCAACATCAATGTTAACGTAAATATATGTAAAATACTAATAAAGTGGACAATTGTGAACAAAGTTTTCAGGATGCCGTCATCTTCAAGTTTACGAACGCCGTGTGTGAAAGTTACAATCAGTCCTGGTTCGTGTTCCACTACTGTCGTCTGAAGGCCGTCAGTCGAAGCAAAGTGCTCTTCAATATGAATGGGACGATTTTACATCCGGCCAATAATATAAAAATTCATTTGCGGGTTTTTAAAAAGGCTAATGGCTATAAGCCTTGGCTTTTCGATATTTACTTTGATGCCTGTCAGTATTTCAGAAGGCGAAATCTACCAGCTATTAATTTAGTCTACGGACTCTTCAAACAGTATACCAACATCAATCACTCATGCCCCTACGTGGTAAGATTATACAGGTATTTCTCACGAGTACAACATCTAAAATTCCAATACAGGGTTCACAGATTATTTCAGACTTTTATCTAAGACCCGAGCTACTGCGTCTTCCCATGCCAACGGGAGATTATATGTTGTCGCTGCAGTGGATATTCGATAATAAGATACAGTTTGATACGAACATCAGTTTTACGTTCATAGAGGACCTCCTGAAGAGCAAATAGTGGAGGCCTGCAGCCTGCAGACCCCTGAGAATCTACAGAAAATTGACATAGAACAGTAGAAAATTTTAAATGAAAGCAATTATTGTACAGATTTATCAAATACATACACATATGGTAATACGTGTTTTTCGACTGATTGATCAATGAAACGTAATGTAAATAGCTATGGTACTCGATGTTCTCCGGAAGTAATTTAAGCAAAGAGTAATGGCATTATCTACATTTTTTTGACTCTTTCATGCGGAAAAAGATATATTTGTCGGCATGGTAGTCACAGTGTATAGGGGTATATTAGATTCGTATCACATTTGTAAGTGACTGCCAGACGTAGTTTCCGATAACTTTGAAACGCTCGCCAATAACGGACTTGGTCTTTCCATTTTTACTCTGTCAGATCCGAACAATTGCGTTCTTTTTTCTCTCTGATTCTCCACTTGATCATTAGGCGCTTACCGGGACGGACGGTCGGAAGGACGAACAGACAGACATGGCTATACATACATATGTATGTACATATGTATGTTGGCGGGTTGCAGGCCTTTTGCCATAGTACCATAGCTATTTACATTTCGTTTCATTGATCAATCCAGTCGAAAAACACGGATTACCATATGTGTATGTATTTGTTAATTGCTTTCATTTAAAATGTTCTACTGTTCTATGTAAATTTTCTGTAGATTCTCAGGGATCTGCAGGCTGCAGGCCTCCACTATTTGCTCTTCAGGAGGTCCTCTATGAACGTAAAACTGATGTTCGTATTAAACTGTAGCTTTTTATCGAATATCCACTGCATCGACAACATATAATCTCCCGTTGGCATGGGAAGACGCAGTAGCTCGGGTCTTAGATACAAGTCTGAAATAATCTGTGGACCCTGTATTGGAATTTTGGATGTTGTACTCGTGAGAAATACCTGTATAATCTTACCACGTAGGGGCATGAGTGATTGATGTTGGTATACTGTTTGAAGAGCCCGAAGACTAAATTAATAGCTGGTCTGAAATACTGACAGGCATCAAAGTAAATATCGAAAAGCCAAGGCTTATAACCATTAGCCTTTTTAAAAACCCGCAAATGAATTTTTATATTATTGGCCGGATGTAAAATCGTCCCATTCATATTGAAGAGCACTTTGCTTCGACTGACGGACTTCAGACGACAGTAGTGGAACACGAACCAGGACTGATTGTATAGAGAATAGGTTCATTAGTTTTAGCCTAGTTCGGTATGGAGGTATCCGTGTGCCAGAGGCACAGTTCAGACTCCTAAGGGCAAAAATTAGAAATTTTTTGAATTTGTTGCTCTTTGTATTGAGGTCTCTATACACAAGAACAGTACTCCAATGTCGGGCGTACCAATGAGACGTACAGTGATTTTCTTACTCTTTTAATCTTTTTACCAACGCTTATTGAACGCTAAAACTCCCTTAGCTTTGTTCACCGTTAAATCAATATGGCTGTTAAAGCATAGCTTATGACAAACAGGAGTCCTAGGTCATTTGATGTGGAAATTCGATCCAGATCATGTTGTCCTAGAGAGTAGGAGACCAAATGTGGAGCACCGCGGTGAAATGTCATAAGTTTGCACTTAGAATGATTCAAAAACAGTAGGTTAGACGAACACCACTTGTTTAATTCATCAAAGTCAAGTTGAAGACGAGTGTGCGAGCACCAATCGGAATCAGCATACATTAATGTAACTGAGTGCAAAATAACTTGAGGTAAGTCATTCACAAGCAGATTGAAAAGCAGCGGGCCTAAATGACTTCCTTGAGGAACACCTGAGGTTACATTCACGACATTTGACAAAACATTAGAGAACATAACACGCTGTGTGCGGTTTGACTGATACGACGATATCCAATTTACGAGATTTGGAGGAAAACCTAACAGAGAGAGTTAATGGATCAGCAAAGTATGATTAACCGAATCAAAAGCATTGCGGAAATCTGTAAAAATTACGTTAGTTTGCAAGCAGATTTGATAGCCTCGGTTGATTAGAGACGAGAACTCTATCAGGTTAGTCGATGTTGATTGATGTTCAAAAAATCCATGTTACGACGGGGATATTGAACTACGACATCGTGTTGAAATTGACGTGTAACAAGGTGGCTGCTCTAGCAGCTTTGGAATAGCAGATAGTTTTGCAATACCGCGGTAGTTTTCAACGTTAGATCTAGACCCATTTTTGGGACGAGGAATAAGGTAGGATTCGTTCCAAGTCACGAGGATGCAAGAACGTTCAAGAGAGAAATTAAACAGGAAGGTCAAAGGTTGGCATAGGGCTCGAGCGCAATACTTTAAAATGCAGCTCGGATTTTTATCAGGTCCTGCAGAGAAACAGATGTCAATAGATGAAAATCCTTCAAAAACTGCGCTTTCTTCACATAAGGGAAGAACTACGATTAATGCATACCTAAGGGGTGGATGAGTCGTAGGTATGAGATGAATACGTCGATTGAAAGAAGGCGGCAAATAAATTTGCAATACCTTCAGCTGACGTTTCTGTCTTATCCAGTAAATGAAGAGAAGGGGACTTAGACTTACGTTTTGAGTTTGAACAAAACTTTTTTGGATCAGTACGGAAATTTTTAATACATTGGGAAAGATAATGGTTATAACATTGACTATTGACAGTAAGAAATTTAGAGCGAACAGACGATTATTGAGCAAAGTCAGAGAAAGAACCAGTTCTCTGGTACTTTTTATATAGCCGCTATTTTTTATTATACCCGTACTCAAAAAAGAGTTAGGGGTATATTAGATTTGTGGTAAAAGTGGATGTGTGCAACGCAGAGAAGGAAACGTTTCCGACCCCATAAAGTATATATATTCTTGATCAGCATCAATAGCCGAGTCGATATAGCTATGTCCGTCTAACCGTCCGTCTGCCCGTCCGTCCGTCTCGATGAGCGCCTGGATCTCAGAGACTATAAGAGCTAGGGCAACAAAATTTGGTTTCCAGGCTCATGTGATATCACACTGCTACAAGTGTATTTCAAAATTTCGCCCGCCCCCTTCCGCCCCCACAAAGAACGAAAATCTGTGGCATGCACATTTTTAAAGATACGATAAAAGCGCAGTATCGTAGAGAATGGCTATATCTATCAGATTCCCGAATCTGAATCAGATCGGATCATATTTATAGCCAGAATGAAGAAATTAATTTTCTGTTGGTTCTTCGGCCCCCTCCTGACAGAGATCCTCTACCTATCTCTTTCTGGCTCGCACACTCTGCCGCGCTCAGTGCGCGAGCAACGCCTAGCGGAGGAGAATTAGAATCTAAATGGAACATGTACAATCTACATGTTAGATGTAGAATATACATTGTATATGTAGATGTAGATAGCAGATGTAGCAACAAAATGTAAAATTTTTTTTTATTCTAAATTTTCAAAAAAATCATATGCTCAAAAATGTATATACTGACTGAGTACGGGTATGAGTAGAGTCGCGTCCCCAGAAGCGACTCGCACGTTCCTTCTCGTTTTTTAGGTAGGAATGATACTTGGAGAACCAGGGTGGTTTGGAGGATACTTGAACGGTAACTTCAAGAAAATAGGTGTTGAGAGCAGAGTTTAACGTGTCATAAAACGAGTTGACTATTCCGTTTATATCTGATAACGACTGAAGAAAGGACCAATCAATTTGCAATAGATGTAAACTTAAAGCGGTGAAATTCGTTTTACGAAAACACTTTATTCTAAGGTCAAAGCCCAAAACGTAAGAGTCTACGGAATGTGCCAAGGGTATGCGAAAGTAAGCGAAATAATCACATTGCTTCACTAGGTTTTGGGACTTTTTAACAGTATACCGCATCAAAAATTCCACAACGTGGAAAGATTATAAAGGTATATCTCACAAGTCAAGCATCAAAAATTTCCATTACAGGGTCAACAGATACTGTATCTTCCAAGATTCAGGGGAACTTCTAAAAGAAGACACAATTTGATACGAAGGTTAGTTTTACATTCGTAGATGATGTACTGAATAGAAATTAAACCAAAAATGGATCGGGCAGAAGATTGGAAATCACTATAATTCGTGTTTATCAGTGTTCAATCAGTGTTCAAAGTAATTAAAGCACTTAAACTCTATCATGCGTAAATGGATATAGCATAAAATAACACATTGGTGTCATTTAAATGGTATTTTTCCATCAAGACCAGGAACGATGCGGTGCCAGCTGATGATCTGTGCGGCCATCGGATTATTCCTAGCATTCAACATCAATGTTAACGTAAATATATGTAAAATACTAATAAAGTGGACAATTGTGAACAAAGTTTTCAGGATGCCGTCATCTTCAAGTTTACAAACATCGTCTGTGAGAGCTACAATCAGTCATGGGTCGTGTTCCGGTACTGTCGACTGAAGGCTGTCGGCCGGGACAAAGTTCATCTCAACATAAATGCGACGATACTACACCCAGCTTATAACATAACAAATCATGGAAAGATTTTCAAGAGATCAAGTGGATACAAGCCATGGCTATTGGACACCACTGTGGATGCCTGTCGATTTATGCGGAAGAATTACGATCCCTTCGCCAAAATAGTCTTCAGCCTTTTCAGAGAATTCTCAAACATTAACCACACTTGTCCGTATGTGTAATTGTCCGTAATTTCTAACAATTTCTAATTAAAAGGGACACCAAATGTTGAAGGATTTTTATCTAAAACCCGAGCTGTTGATTCTGCCCTTTCCCACCGGCGATTATATGCTGTCTATGCGATGGTACTTCGGCAGAAGGCTGCAGTTTGATACGAATATAAGCTTCGTTTTCGTGGAGGATCTCCTGAAGAGCTAATAGCTGGCAGTACCTACAGCAGATCCCTGAAGATCCAATTAAATTGCAACCAATTATTGTAAATTTTTTCAAAATGCGAGTCTGTGCAAATTTATAAATATTAAATTACATGAAGTGTACAGAAATTGGAATGGAAATCAGTTATCTATATGTCATACATATATTGAAAATCGGTCGATTAGAAAATAATTAATTATATAAAGTCTGAACTCCCTCTATATCAATGGGTTCCTAAATTCCACAATGATCCAGGACTTTAACTGAATTTCCCATTCCAAAGTGCTGTCGATACTGTTGTTATTTGAAAAGCAGCTCGCATGGCCTTCACATCGCGAAAAGATATCCGAACAGCAAACAAGAAATATGAGTTTTACCAACGATTCTATAACACGTTCTATAGAATCTTTGGTGTTACCAATAGAAGGATCTATTTTACAATTCAAGAATACAGCTTTCTTAAAGAAGAATACCCTCTGGAAATGTATGCAGTCCAAACTTGTATTCTGTGTTCTATTCGGAATATTTATAGTTCTTCATTCGATTTTAATGTAAATATAACTTTAAACTTCCTGTGAAACAGGTCATTCATTAATTAAGGTTGACAGGATGCGGTAGTATTCAAGTTTACAAACTTCGTCTGCGAAAGCTACAATAAATCCTGGGTTTTTTCCAGAACTGTCATTTGAAGGCCGTCAGTCGCATCAGAGTGTTTCTCAACATAAATGAGACGATATTGCATCCGGCCAACGATATGACAGCTCATGTGCGGGTGTTCGACTTTAACTTTAATGTCTGTCTGTATTTAAGACGGCGAAATCTACCCATTGTTAATATACTATATGGGCTCTTCTAAAAGTTTCCCAAAATGAATCACACATGCCCCTACGTGGTAAGATTAAACGGATCTTTCTCAAAACTTAAACAACGTACATTTTTATTACAGGGACCACTAGAATTCAAGGGCTTGTATCTATGTCCTGAACAAATGAGTCTTCCTATTACAACGGGGGATTATATGCTGTATTTGCAGTGGTACTACGAAAGGGCTACATTTGAACCAGTTAGGTATCTAGAGGTCTACAGGAGCTAAATAAATCATATGCAGCCAAGACATTGGGATGCAGTCCAAGCACCAAACTTCAGCTGCACGCAAGCAGCTTTCAACACTAGAGCTCTACCTACAGGGTTTTTTGTTTTTACCTATAACGCCCGTTTAGATATTTTTATGAGATCACGAGCCGGATTACAACGTAGAACATGAACGCAACATTAATGACTTTCAGGGGTACATATATACAAATAAATAAAAAATGCATAGCCCAGATGAGGCAGCGGCGTATGGATAGGTGAGGTTGCATGTCGATAATAGCCCCCCCCCCACGCGTTTGCAGCGCTTTGGACAGTAAAGTCAGTCGCTGAAAATCGTCGATCCAGGCCGTTAACTGCAAACCGTAAAATATAATTTCCATAAGCTTTGTAACCTAATCATTTAAACTTGCGACATTACCCAAATGAAATATATAATTTGTAACTCCTACATAAATAACGTAGCGTAATCATAGGTACAAATTAAGAAAATCATTAAGGATTTTAAAAACCAAAGATAATACAAACATATGTATTTTAAAGTATTATGGGATTGTGTTTTTGTTATTCCAATTCCAATTTCAGCCCATCTAGTGGACAGAGGACCCAACTGGTGCGGACTGGATAGTATTTAGTTTAGAATTAGATTTCCTCAGTAGTATTGTGGTAAGCACAAGAGAGCGGACAGTCTGCCAAGTCCTTCTATGATCGTGTACGCTTCGGACGTCTTTGGGTCGTTTGTATGGGCTTATCGTTAGGGGGAAAGGCAGTGAGCCAGATATATGGAACCAGAACAGCAGACAAGGTCTGAACAGCCAGTTGCGTATAAAATGTACCACGATAGTCGTGAATAAGCAAAGGGATAAGTGTTTTCGCTAGGTGCATGGACGCCGCTGTAGTTGCTGTAAAGCTTCTCTTCTCCCTGACCCCAGAAAAAGCACAAGCGGTCACTATGAGTCCCATTCGAATTGGGGAAGAGTCCAGGCAGTTACCATTCCTCACATCCCACTGCGTGCAAAAGTCAGGACAAGTCTCCTCCGGAAAGCTCATCGCCACTCCCATCCAGCCGACTATCATCAGAAGCGCCATTGCGGTAAACTCACCCACAGCCCGAGAGAAAGTAGTTCCGTCCAGTATCATTGCGTCTCGAACGTGTCTGGAGTTGAAGCTGAGCTGCGTGTGACAGACGATTGTAAATTTCGAAAAAAATATATTTTTGACAGTTTTTGTAGGAACTACTCTCAAACAGGACCCGATTTATATTGAACAGGAAATCCACGGCCTGCCATA